ATCTCATGATTCAAGGTCTATATAATATATTATTAGGGTCTGTATGTTGTACATAATAATAGAAATTATAAACTCTTGCACTATAAAAAGAATATACAAACCAAGTATAAAAACTAAAAACTCCCTAAAACTTATATGTAGTAGAACTTACTATTAGTAAGCATTAATTATTAGTTTAGCTGTAAAATTTGTCTACATTAAGTACCAGAAACTTATTAGGAAAATTATAAGATAATAACCAAAATAGCATTATATACGACTCCTCATGCAAATTAAGATTGAAGAACAATATGCACGTGGTGCAAGCAAAAGACTGCAGCCAATTATCGATCACAATTAAACGTTGAAATATTGAATTAATATCAGTGAACAGATTCATACATATATATATATATATGTATGATCATCCGAAATGAAAGGAAATGCATATTCAACAATTAATTGAGAATTGAGATATGCATGCACTTGAGAAGATTTATGGAATTTGTTCAGACTTGCTCATAAGCTGTAAAAGAGCATTTGCTTTCCTCTGCGCTCTATTTGTTCCACTCTGCGAGATCTCAATTAAATGCTCATATACGCCAAATTGAAGGGCTGCGAGAATGTGAGATGAATTATTTGAACTCAACTCAAGAAGAACCGAGGTTGCACACTCCTTATTCTTGGGGGTTCCATCTCTGATGAAATCAACCAGGGTTCCAATGAATGAAAGCTGTCCAATCTCATGTCTCCCTTCTGGATGAGTTGCAAGAAGTAAGAAGATGGAGAGGGCCTCATCAACCATGCCCAGTTTCTTGTCCTCCAGTAACAACATTAAAGGTGGTACAATGCCAGCATCAATAGCCCTGGCTTTGTTGGCTTGGTTGACAGATAAGTTGAACAATGCAGTGAGAGCATCTCTTTTACCTCTAATTGTCCCGTTCTGCAACAATTCTACAAGTGGGGGAATGCCATTTGCCAGAGCTATTGTTACTTTGTTCTGGTCAAGCATTGATAAGCTAAATAAAGCTGCTGCAGAATTCTCTCGTGACTCCATACTTCCATTTTGCAAGATTTCTATTATAGCTGGTATTGCTTGTTCCTTAGTTATGAGTCTCTTATTAGACTCATCAATGGATAAATTCAATAGAGCCGTCACAGCATTCTCTTGAATTTTAGAATCTGGATAGCACAACAACTGCACTAACGGTGGGATTGCTCCATTTTTAGCAAACGAAACTCTGGTCTCTGGCTTCTCCTTGGAAAGCATACGAATATCCTTTACTGCCTTTCTCTGCACTTCTAATTGACTTGAGGATAGTTCTTCAACCAAAGATGAGATTTCTTGTTCTTGTTTAACAGAGGAGCCTTGAGAAGATGCAAGATCCTCTTTCTTGGGGATCTTAAAATTGTTCTTCTCACACCATTGTGTGATAAGGTTCTTGAGGGCATAATTTGGCGCTAGTGACAAGTGAGCTAGAGTCTGCCTGGTCTTTGGACAGGCGCGATGGTTAGAATCAAACCACTTCTGTATGCTCTCTCTTTCAAATGTCTGAATTTGGTTGGAAAACAATATTGAATGAAACACATATATATAAAAAACAAATAAGTTTTCCATCGCATAACATGATGATCTACTAAAGTGAATGACTTAATAATGATGTTTGTTTTCTTTTATTAAACTGGTTGAAAAGGAGAAGATTTAGTTAGCATGTAGACACAACATTACCTGTCCACTCGAGACAATAACAGGATCTCTCATTATTTCAAGTGTGATTGGACAGAGGAACTCATGAGGAATCACCAAAGATTGGGACTTCGTCAACATTTTAGGCATGACTGCAGGATCATCAAGAACATTGGTTACTTCCATGCCTAAAATTTGCTTGAATTTGTTGAGAAGTTGTATAATTTGCTGTGTGGACTCCGAAGTTTGGCCTTTTTCTTTAGCAAGATTCTTGACAGCCACAGTTTCTATTTTCAAGTCCTCAACAGTATGTAGATCTAGCTTTTTGGCTAGCCTTTCTATTATGGCTATATCAGCATTCCTTTGATCGTCAGTTTTTGAGGATACCGCCATCATATCTACTGCAAGTTCTATATCCTGCGAATCTGTTCTCCTTTTAGTTCGGTTTAATTGTCTCCGCATTAGCTCAACCTGAATAACAGCCGGCATACGAAATTTTAAATAAACATGTAGAATTTTAATTAACAATGTTTTGAATAGAGAAAAAAAAATTAGTAATTGATATCTTTTATTAATATAATAACATATCCTATCAAACTAATTATCATTTCACGGTTAATGTGAGATAGAGCTCTCAAATGTCTTCATCTATAATTCATACATGTTAAAGCCCAATTTAGTTGCCCCCAAATGTTATCTATATACTTAACATGTAAGTAATTTATTCATACTTCATCTGCCAACTGTATATATATATATATATATATATGGTCAAATTAATGTTATGAGATTATAAGATGGCTGAAGGCATCAAGTACAGTTTTGCTTAATTTCCAAGTATCAAAGACAAAGAAAGATAATATTTGTCATACCTGTTCCCTAACTTCCACAGATACCTCAAGTTCATCGAAAGGCAATTCATCCAAAGCCTGGCTTAATTTTTGGTAAACAGTGTGAAATTTGATCATTGCAGCCTCACTCTCCAAAGCCTGAATTACAAAAGGAAAATCTTAAAAAAAAAAAAGAAGCGACAATGAGAATTTCCTAATCCATCTGATAAAAAAATGATGAGATTGAGACCCCAAATCTACAAACAACCTCACCAGGTAAATCTTGCTACCCTCATTGCAAGTTTTCAATACTTTCTTTGCCAAGCGAAGTGCTTTCGTCAACTTTGACAGACAAACAATGCCATTCGGAGTAAGCGGGGAGCCAAGGTACCGAATCTCATCTAAGAATTGCAACAAAATCTTCATGCGCCTAACGAGGTTGTAACATTCTTTTCTTTGCGTTCTTCGGTAATCTCCAAGTCGAGCAGCGTATTCAATCAGACTCACGGCTTCCTCAACCATATCAATTCCCTCTTGTGCGTTTGGTGTATTCATTCCATTCTCTTCCTCCATAGCCTCCCCTCCTCCGTCTCCGTCTCTCTCTCCATCCATCACCATCTGCAGTTTGTGCTAGCTCCTGCTCTTCCCTATAGACAATTAGGAACTGTGTCCATTGCCAGCTGGCGAAATAATCCAATTATGTTTTTGAAATATATGAAAAATACTGTTAAACATGAATCATCATAACCAGGAATGAAGAGGGTAGAGGGAAATCAAAGAAACATAAAACCCTAACCCTAGTTTCCATGAATGATTGATGGTGTTCTTGTGTTTCTTGGTCTATGTAATCTCTTTGCGTGCTTTTCGGGTCTGTTGCAAATTACAATATATTTCTGTGGGGTTTTGGTTCTTAAAATAGAAAATCCTTTTGAAAGTTTGTTACTCTTAAATGGACAGCCATAGTTTGCTTTATCTAAAAGAATCTTATAACTAACTATTACACATGTAAATCAATCAACTTCCTGAAATGTGGAAAACTAATTATATGTTTGTGTCGCATTGCATGCTACTGCTATAAATATCAAAATCTTCAATCAAAAAAAGAAAAAAATTCACCCACTTAAAGTAAAAAAAATATAGTATATATCAACCTAGCTAATCTGTAACTCAACTGCTGTTCATAGCTACATGTTTGTTTGAAAAGATATATATATATATATATATATATATATTCACATCAAGTTATCAGACTATTTTTATCCTAGATTAAGTGTAATCTGTTATCACTATCTTTATCTTGTTTCATTGTAATCTATCACTATTATCTCTATCTTTTACTATGAATCATTGCTATAAACTCAGAGCTAACACTTCACAAGAAGGTCAAGTCAGGATGCAACATTTTTTTATTGGTGTTTTATAAATTTACAAGTTTCATTAAATTTTAATAATTTATACTAGACACTTCAGTTTAAACTTCATAATAATCATGTCATTTGCAGTTAAGTATATTTCACAATATATGACAAATACATATATATATTTCATGGGAAAAGGTCAGGCTTATGGTAAAAGGGTGATTTCATTTTCATTGCATTAATTTCTTTACTCTTTTTGAGGTAGTTTGCATTTTTTGGTCAACAGCAATCGGGAACATGCTTTTGAAATTGTCAAATGCGCATTCATTTTTCAAATTCATTGCTTGAATGCTAAAGTTACATGACAGGTAATGTTTTAATTGTTATATATATATATATATATATATGTTGCGTGATGAAAGACTTGAATCACCCTTCGGTATTCTACAAACTACCATTATTACTTTCAACTACAGTGGATATATAAAAATGAAAAATGAAAATACATATACTACACTAGTTTAGGGAATTAACAGATATATATATATATATATATAGCTAGGCATAAAATATTCCTGCCATTAACGGCAACCCCGCCATAAAACCAAATGTCCAGTTTCAATGGAACCTAAATATTAATTATTATTATATTGTTAAACTTAAATTAAAAAAAAAACTAAAAAAATGTTAATTTACTGACAAACCTTCTAGTTTAAACTGGAAACAAGTTGTTAAATGGAAACTTTGTAAGGCAGTGCCTGGCTGAGGCTGGCTGCCATCCCTCCTCATTGTCGGATGACCGTTCAGATTATTGAGGACCGTATCATTGACATAACAATCACGAGTCTGTCTTCACTTTTCACGTACAAAATCTCCCACTCTTTGTCTCTCTACCGTCTGATTCATTTATTTGACACATACTTGGAGCCAACGTGGCAGAAGATTACTGGCATGTCACAGAGAATTTGGGTCAATCAATCAAGGAAGCAGTACTAATGTTATTCGTAGGAATTTGGTGAGACGGTAATAGCCATAGATTAAATCGGAATGATTATTATATTATAAAAAATTAAATGTTTGGAGTAATAATAAGAAAATAAAAACAAAACGGGAAAACTTTGAAAACACCTAGTAAGGTTACCCGTTAAGCGTACACAGCAGAACGCTACCTTTCATTTTAAAGATTGGACGGCTAAGATTTACTAGCCGTTAGTTTTAAAATTGAGGGGAGTAGATGTGTCTAAATTTCCCTTTATAATCATCCTTTTCTTTGTAAAAAAAAAAAAAAAACCCAAAAGCCTGATCAAGAGAGAGAGAGAGAGAGAGAGAGATCGCTTGCTTGCTTTGCTTTTCTCAAATGTCATTCGTTTGAGTAATCTCTCTCTTCAATTTCCTTTTTTGGTGAAGTGAGCATCAAAGGAAACGGGGTTTGGGAATCTGGGACTGGGAGAGATCAACAACGAAAACTCTTTTGAGAAAGGTATTTAAAATTTTTCTAATTTGTTGATCTTCTTTCTTATTGGGTCTTAAGCATTTCTTTCAATTTCAAATATTTCAAAACTAAAGTCAAGGGATGCCTATGTTATGTGGATTCTTATTGTTTATAGCTGTTTTTTGTAGATACGGAAAAACGATGGCTGGACCAGATGAGAACAATCCTGGAGTCATCGGACCCTCACATCTTCAAGGTGATTAATTCTACCCCATTTTCTGCAACCTCTCTTTTTATGTTTAAATAAATATTCGAAATTTAAAGTACCAAAGAATTGTGTTTTCTTTTTAATTTGCAATATAAGGGGGTTTGGAAGCCGCAGGAGGAGGGAAATTCGTGGCGGTGACTGGGCAGAATCGAAGAGCATTGAGCTCAATTAATCGGAACGTAATTGGAGCGCCACCTTACCCATGTGCTGACAACAAGAGACCTTTATCTGAGTGAGAACTTTTCTTAAATCCTCTCTCTGTTTGGTTGCAGAGAACAGAAAAGAAAGTAGATCTTTTTGAGTCAGCTATTGCTGGTTTTGTTTCTGATTCCTGAATGAGATTGCATAAATGATATATATGAGGACTGGGGTTTGTCCTGGTATTCAAGGGTCCTAAAAGAGACTTTTTTTTTTTTCATTTTTAAGAATGGTTTTCTATTTCTCCCTTTGGGCAGCAGCAAGAAACTGAAGATTTGTTATCAAGGCATATTTTTGAATTTTGATATTCTTTGTCCATTTTTTTCTCTTTTAATTCAGAAGAAATGCAGTTTGTGATAAGATCCCACTCATACCTGTGCATAGACCAATAACAAGGTCAGTAAAATTTTCTTTTTTGTTTTGATTTCCAAAATATATCTTCCTTTTTATCCTTTTGCTCCTGGTTCTTTCTGTTCAGGAAGTTTGCTGCCCATATTGCTAACAAGCAGCAAATCAAGCCTGAGGTATCATTTTTTACAATGGAGAATTTTGGTATTTTCCCCAATTATTCAGTTACATTAGATTAATGGTAAACTACTCTTACAGGAAACAAAACAATCAGTCCAGTCCGTGCCAGTTTCAAATGAATATGAAGATTGCACCATCATAGATGCGGATGACACCAAGGTAAATGGTGACTTTGATGTGCCGATGTTTGTGCAACATACAGAAGCTATGCTGGAGGAGATTGATCGTATGGTATAAGACACCTCGCTTCACTGTAAACTCATCAATCAATCAATCTCTTGTTTTTGTTCGGAAAAACACTGATGCTTTGTCTCCCCAGCAGGAGGAGGTTGAAATGGAAGATAAGGAAGAAGAACCTTTTGTGGACATTGACAACTGTGATAAAAAGAATCCACTTGCAGTTGTTGAGTACATTGATGATTTATTTAAATTATACAGGAAAGCAGAGGTGATTATTAGAACTTTATTTTCGTTCTTTAGTTGATTTTCATGCTCAACTGCAACATTTTTTCCTCTAAATTGACATAGATTCTATCAGGTAAACGATTGAGTAATTAATGACCCTTTTTTGGTTGATTTTCTGAACTTTTTCATTTGATTTTTTCAGTGTCCTGGTTGTGTTCCTCCAAGATATATGGCACAGCAATATGACATTAACGAGAGGATGAGAGGAATTCTCATTGACTGGCTGATAGAGGTACGCTAAATGTTTCATTAACTGACACAACCTTTTTAGGAGATGAATTTAGGTAAATCCTGGTAAATTTTAAAAATCCATCATTAATGAGCATTATGGAATGACAGGTTCACTACAAGTTTGAGCTGATGGATGAGACCTTATATCTGACAGTCAATCTGGTCGATAGATTTTTGGCGGTTCAACAAGTAGTGAGGAAGAAACTTCAGCTGGTTGGAGTAACAGCCATGCTTCTTGCCTGCAAATATGAAGAAGTTTCTGTTCCAGTTGTAGAGGATCTGATTCTGATATCTGACAAGGCTTACAGCAGGAAAGAAGTGCTTGATATGGTTTGTAATTCAACATTGCGTTTCATAATTTTACCTTTTTCTTTTCTATTAATGTTTTGATGGCTCAATAAGAAATAGGAATGACGTAATATACATCTTGATTTAAAGGAGAAATTGATGATCAATACCTTACAATTCAATCTATCTCTTCCTACGCCGTATGTGTTTATGAGGAGATTTCTCAGAGCTGCTCAATCTAACAAGAAGGTTCGTGGCAACAAAACATTGTCATTTTGCATTTATTATCCAACATTGTTATTAAATGAATCTGAAATGGCTTTAAATGTGACTTTGAACCAGCTTGAGCTTCTGTCATTCTTCATGATCGAGCTTTGCCTTGTTGAATTTGAAATGCTTAAGTTTCAACCTTCTTTATTAGCTGCTGCTGCTATTTTCACTGCTCAGTGTACTCTTAGTGGGTCTAAACATTGGAGCAAGACCAGTGAGTGGTATACTACCTACTCGGAAGAGCAGCTTATGTAAGTCTGTCTTCGTCTCTTTGCTCTTCTGAATTACCAGAAAATTTGGTATTTCAAGTTAAAAAACTTACTCTTGTTATTTCTTTTTTTTTTATTTTTTGTATAGGGATTGCTCAAGAATGATGGTTACTTTCCATCAGAGGGCAGGGACAGGAAAACTTACAGGTGTACATCGGAAGTACAGTACATCTAAGTATGGTTATGCAGCAAAAACTGAGCCAGCAACTTTTCTCTTGGAGGCTATATTCTAGCACAGCCTAAAACATTGATTGATCAAATCCAGTTAACTAGGAATTAAGAGGGGGGGGGGGGGGGGGGGGCAATCGAGCAACACAAGTTGCTGCAACCAGGTTTATGAATATAATACTGACTCGGTGTTTGCCCTTTGAATTCTGCCTCTTCTTTTATATTTTTTATTTGAACATAGCCAAGATGTTGTTTGTTTCTCTTTCTCCTTCCTAGAGAGTAAAATCATTGTGTTAAGTGTTCCATCCAAATCATTGTTTCTTTATAATACTTCGATTTTAATAATAGATTTCTTTCGATTTGTACTAGCATTGAATTTTGATTTGTATCAAACAAAGCCATTGGAAACCCCAACCGTATATAAGTTTTGGCCCAAAAAGAAACTAACATGTAAGTTTTTGGCGAAAGAAAAAAATTCCGATGCCGGGACTTGAACCTGGGTCTCTCGGTGAAAGCCTAGTATCCTAACCAGCTAGACTACAGCGGATTTTTGAAAAATCGTATCCATTCCGTAAATTAAATTTATGTACTTGAGGACGGAATTTTTTCTTCTTCTTACTCACCCAGCTTGGGTTAATGACTCGATTGCCCTATAATCTAGCCTCATCCTCAAAAGTAGCTAGACCCTTGTTTTTTTTTTGGGTGAAAGGCAAAGACACCCGAAATTACTTGGAGCATATTTTGATCGAGAACATGCTCTTTTTTCGGCATTCCATGTAAACAATAGGTTGTTCCCTGTACATATGGTACTAAAGCCTAGGCTCATCTATTCACAAGACAAGTGCATCTTCTACACACTGAATCCCAAAAGACCGTTTAAGTATGCGTAGGTTTAAGACTACCAATTACCAACTTTCAAATGAATATAAAAAGACCATTGAGCACCAAAAAAATATATATACGGAGTCCAAAAGACTTGTGGCATGGAAGGTGCAGGTTCAAAGGATACAATCATACTTGCATTTTTCCCCATAATCACAAAACCGCAATGCAGGTATAAAATTCAGAAGATCAAACTAATAGTCCTGAGTACATGCACACAGACACTTAGCATTCACTTGGATCCAGGCAAAAAAACTTCAGCACTATGTAATTTCATTTCCTCAACATAACATAAGAGCCTATCCTTTTACATCAAATATATGGATTACAATCTTGATCATTAAATTCAAGACATTTCTCAGGTGACTACAATGATGAACCGTACTCCTGTCAGAAGAGCCTAGAAACTATTTGACATGACATAGTTACCTACGAACAGATGGCACAACACCTCTACCACCTGTTGTGCCGCGGCCAGCAGCTTGAGCCTGTAAAACAAAAAAAAAAAAATGAAGTTAAAATTTGTAAACTGAAGCTCAGAAACAAGTTTAAGGACATTTATAAATAGATAAGCAAACAAAAGCACCATTCTTTGGGTTCCATCTTAATTACAGGATAGGTGAACTTACTTTGGCTCGCATTGCAACAGCTCTGCCTCTGCCAACTCCTAGAGATGAGCTCTTACCCTTCAAGAAGTTATGAAGTTAGAAATATTCTAACAAGTGCATAATGTAAGAAAACTGATAACTTGCAAGTAGATTCATACCTTGATTTTAGCATCCAGACGTTTGAACATAGGAGCATTCTTCAACATGTCAGGTATGACCATAAACCTGTCAAAATAAGTCCATCTTTCAACAGACGAATAAGGTATGCCTGATTTAAATATAACCACACCTACTACACCTGACTTTACTGCCTCGAATGAAAACATGCTCAAGCTGTGATACCTTTCCATCCTGAAGCCAAGCCAACCAAACATCTTAAAATCAGTTACAAATAGAAGGAAATGAGAGGAAAGACAGGAAGAATCTAGAGCCAAAGGAAACGTGAACATGCTTTTGAAAAGATATCTACATCTGAAAAAGGGAATGAGAGGAACATCCACTCAAATCACAATGAATTTTCTCAGAAAGAAATCAGGAAACACAAAACTGAGTGAAATTCTAATTTCACTCATTCAACTTTTAATTATTTCTGTTGAATAAAGAACCATGACGCAATAAGTCAGGAACTGAGATACTTCATTAAATCAGGTCACTACCTGACATTTGTAGCATATGGTTTTAGGCCTAAATTTGATTGGAATATACACAATAATACATACAACCTAACTAGGATAACACAACAATCAATAAGAAATCCAAGAACGAAGAGCAATAAGTGATTGCCGAGTAATGACATGACAATGCATCTCTTCCTCTCTCTCCAAAGATTTAACCAGAGTATAAACTAAAGTGCAAAGATCCAGCATACAATGCCTAGATCTAACATCAAATACTGAAGCATTTTAAGGTTTATCACTAACTGAACATACACCCTAAACCCTAAATTACTCGGATCCAAATAAAAGTAAACAAATCAAATACACTACTGAACAGCTAAAGAAAAAAAAAAAGGAAGTGGGAAAGACAGGCACTTTAGCCATGTAAGTGATGTTCTCTAGCTGGCAATTCCAGTTATCCTCGCACTCGACCATGCTTCCTCGGTAAAGCTCTCCGCTCTTGAGCTCCACCGTTACCACGTGGCCCGACGCCTCATGTAGTACCTTCACCGGAATGCCCAAGCTTCGGCTCATTGTTTCCTCTCCTCTTTCTGTTTTTCCCGTTCTTTCTCGCTAGCCCGCTCTGCTTCTGTACAAATCGCAAAACCCTAGCGCTCAAACAAAAAATTTAGGTCGCCGAGTTGTTTAAAAATTTCTAAATATAATTATTATGGTATTTTTTTTTGGCCAAAAAAGATTATTAGGGTATATTTGTAATTGTTTGGATACAGTAATGAGAAGTTGGGAAAATTTTATAGCTACATATGATATGATTCAGCGGGCCGTTGGTTACCCTTTCTAATTATTCCTATGCCGTTGGATTATTTGACTTGTAGGTGGAAATGGTGTTTTTTTTTCCCCCCAAATTACAAAAATACACATTAAAAATAGATGTCAAGTGTCCAATCAAAACTTGAAATGAAATTTTGTAAGACTATTATTCTTTTTTTTTTTTAATGGGAAAGGGATTATTTGAATATGACCAAACCTTTGGATAAAAAGCATTAACTAAGATTTGAAAAACATGTCATATTCATAAAAAAAAAAAAAAAATTTAGTCATATTGTATATCATTATCACCTATTTTACATATTCTATTTGTTTGGTTCATGAAAATGATAAACAATAATAGTACTAATATATAGGGACCTTGTAAGAACAAAAGAGAGCAAAACAAATTAATACGTGATAGTTTGTTTTGTGAATAACAATAGTGTGAGGAGTAACCAGGGAATGTTGTTTGTTGTTGCAAATGTTATAGTAGTAGAGTATAATATATATATATATATATATATATATAGAATGCTTAACAACTAGTTATGCTGTAGAAAGACCAAAGTCGCAATAAAATCTTTAGAGTTGTAAAGAAGATCTAGTCCAGTGTACATGGTAGGTCTTGCTATTTCCATTGCTGCGATTAAATAGCCTCTAGAGAGAGTTCAAGGAACATTGTTTGAAAATACGACTTTTGTGTCTCTTCCGTTTAAGCACATAACCCAATGTTTGAGTTTTATTTTGAGAAGACGATGAATTCTACTCTGACTCTGGTTTAGAGGTTGGTAGGGGATCCGTCTTAGATTAGCCCAATTGGTTTTATCCTTCTGGCTTGAAGGGGACCAACATGCCTTTAGCCCAATTGAGCTTGTACTTCTCGTTTGAAGCGGCCTTCTATGGTCTTAGGCCTTCTCGCCCAATTTAAAGGAAGCCGAGCAAAATTTTTCTGAATAATTTAAAGAAAAAAAGGAAAAAATGGTGAGGAACAGGAAGAAATCATCTTGGTAAAAGTTTTCCGTCGTGGGACAAAAACAAATATAAGATTTACCAAGGTTTTAGAGAGAAGAGAAAAATGGAGCAGAAGAATAAGTACAGCATAATAATACCAACTTATAACGAGCGCCTCAACATTGCTCTCATCGTCTATCTCATCTTCAAACATCTCCGGTAGGTATTTCCCAACTCCAAATCTCTCCTTTTTTATTTTTATTTTTATTTACATTATTTATATTTTGTCTTTGATAGCTGAACTCGTAATATTAGTAATTTGACGTGATCTATGGAGATCTGCCCTTCTTTTCTTAAATTCACGCTCTTTCTTTCTGCCCCTCTTTTCTTAAATTCACGTTCTTTCTTTCTGCCCCTCTTCTCCTGATAGAGTTTATTGTACGGTATTTGAATTGTCTTTTTTCTTTGGTATTGTATGGTATTGTTTTCTTATCATGCAAATGATTTGAATCGGATGATGAATATAGAAAAAGCTTTTAATTTCTGTTTTAGAAAGTAGACTTAGCATTATTCTGGAACAAATTGAAGCATCTGTCGTTTTTTAGATAACTCTGGTTCTTCGTGGCATTTTTTTTCCCGGAATACGGACCTATGCATATGAATCCTTCATATGCTTAAACCAGCTATGTAAAATTGAATCATAGGAGTTTAATCAATGGTCCTTTTTTTGTCCGTTTAGCTGGTTTCTTTTAGTCTTTGTTAATTCAAATGTCACAAGTATGGTGTTCTTGGGACCAAAATTCTCACCACAAATGAGTTGAGATCAGTGAAGGGAAAACATTATTTGAATTCATTTCCACTTTTCCAGTCATGTAATTTTGCTTGTTGTCTATCATGATGCATTATGGATTTATTTTCATCAAAATGAGTAACAAAGTAACTGCCTAACACTCACCTGATAAGTTTACCTCAAAAACCATTCCTCTGGTATTGTGATAGCTCCAACTATCTGTCTTATGTAAGCTGTTGTCACTTTTCTTGTCTGGAGTAGGGGTGTAGATTTTGAAATAATTGTTGTGGATGATGGGAGCCCTGATGGTACCCAAGAAGTTGTGAAACAACTGCAGAAACTGTATGGTGAAGATCGTGTTGTAAGTTTCATACTAACCTTCAAAATTGGATCTATATGTAATCTGTTTTGCTGATCAATTCCTATGCTTACCGCTGCCTCTGTCTCCTTGATGATGCAGCTATTGAGACCTAGACCTAAGAAGCTTGGATTGGGTAAGTAAAATTTATTCCCTTTCAGGAGTAATAGGTGGAGCTGGCCTTGTAATTGTTCTTGGTTTCAGGAACGGCTTACATACATGGTTTGAAGCATGCTTCTGGAAATTTTGTTGTAATTATGGATGCTGATCTATCACATCATGTAAGTGCGATGGTGTTTCTGTATGCCTCTTCTACCAGTTAAATCCATTTACAACACTTCCTGTTTTCTATCACATGTATGATCTCTTCAATCCTTTTTTTGCAGCCAAAATATTTGCTAAGCTTCATCAAGTAAGAAATTTTTTGGTTGACCCTTTTAGGGTTCACAATTATGCCTGATTTACTCAGATCCTTCTAATGTTCTGGTCCATGACATCTTTATAGGAAACAGGTGGAAACTGGCGCCAGCATAGTTACTGGAACACGGTATGTTAAAGGCGGTGGTGTGCATGGATGGAATCTGATGCGAAAGCTAACAAGTAGGGGGGCCAATGTCCTTGCGCAGACTCTTTTGTGGCCTGGTGTATCGGACTTAACTGGATCTTTCAGGTATAAAAACTAATTAACAGAAATGGGCTGTTTCAGACTGTCATAGCTTTAGAGCCAATTTTTTTTTTTCCTTCTCTTTTGAAGGCTTTATAGGAAATCAGTGCTTGAAGATGTCATTAGCTCCTGTGTTAGCAAGGGATATGTATTTCAAATGGAGATGATTGTTAGGGCTTCAAGAAAAGGCTACCACATTGAAGAGGTATAATTCATTTCTATAGTTTCATTCTTATGAATGACAGATATTCTAACTTTAAGTGAGCTTCTGTTATCTTTTACTAGTTTGTGTAGGTTGAGTACTTGGTCGTCGGCATGTAAGAGTAAACGTTTTTGTTCTCTTCTGTTTATACCCATATAATTCACTTTAAAACCCCAGGACAAGAAATGGACTTCAGTACTACTGCCTTTGCAACTTATGCAACTAACTTGAATGCTGATTTTGCTTTTCTCAAATTATTCTTTTAACTTAATCTCTGTGAAGATGATTTTCATATTTTGCTCTGCCAATGGGATTTCATGATGGGGAGTATCATGAACTTTTACACTTGAATATGTTATGTCCTAAATTTAACCAGATTGTACAGAAATTATCTAGATTGGAGTTTGGTCATATGGTTCACCTATTTGGTTTTCTTCCTGTCCCCTGCTTCTTTAAGCCATTGAAGTGTGCTGTTCAAACATCAATAAATCATGCAGGTAAACAACTTGTTTAATCCTTTGCATTTTCATTGATTTGATTTTCTATGGTCTACAGGTTCCTATAACTTTTGTCGATAGAGTGTTTGGAAGTTCAAAGCTTGGCGGATCTGAAATTGTAGAGTATCTAAAAGGCCTTGCATATCTTTTGGTCACAACATGAGACCTTTCTACAAATATTACAAATATAGCCAACACAATAACCTATTTATCTGTTTACTCAAGAAGTGACTGGTCGAGATTTAGTGTAGACTCTGCAGCAAAAAATTTTATAGCTTGTTCTTAGTTCCCTTATGTAACCTGACTTTTGATGGCAAACTTTGTTTTAGATTTCAAAAAGTTATTTTGCTACTGGATGCTTGGCTAACAATGTTTACTCAGGAATGTTATTCAACGGAAATGAAAAGCAAAAGCCAGGGTTGCATTTTACAGGATCAGGACGTTGTGCCAGTTGGTTATTGGTCTTCATTCTTCGCCGTGGCAGCCCTCCTCATCCTTGTTTTATGTTGCTACGGTCTATGATTCTGTCATAGAGAAATTGCAGACAAACATATGAACTAGAGAGACTGCTTATTCAGGCGATTAATGGAGATTGATGAAACTAGGAAATTTCTTTACTTATAGTGCAACAAGAAAATGTAAAAGCTGAATGGGATAATATTTGAGCATCTCAAAAACAAAAGGGGACAATATTTACTGGGCAGTGTCAAACGTCTGGTGGAGTAACCAGAACGAAGCATGATGCTAAAATCCATTGGAAAAGGAATAGAATCCCCAATTTCCTAAAACCAAAAACAAAATGCCAATAAATAAAAACCAATTTCCAATTTTCAGACCCTCCTAACTCTTCTAGCCGCAATTTTCTTCTCAGTGCCAGTCACAGTTGACTTGTTATGGTTGACAGCGAGAGGAGGCTTCTTATTCTCTTTACTCATGCTTCGAAGCAGATACCTAGGAGCCTGAATCTCGCTCCTCTCCATGGAATAAACGGCAGACACTGACTTCCTCAAGTTCTCAAGCTTCTTCGAGTCTCTTCTCTTTGAAGAATCAACTGTTACTCCAAGATGGTGCCCAGTCTTTGCCTCGTTCCCCTTTTCGCCTTTCTTTCTCTTAAGCCTCTCGTTTCTCCTCGCCGAGTACTCGTCGTAAAATCTGCCTCTCTCAAACAGAGGAGTGGAATTGGCGTTGAGACTAGTCTCACCAAAACCAGCGTTTTCCGTTTCCCCATTTCCAAGTTCATTTCCAACCATCCTAGCCAAAGCATGTAACTCGCAAGAAATGGAGCGATACTCGGGTCGAATCTCAGAATCTTCGATTGCCCAAGTACGAATCCGCTTCTGAGATTTCGTTAAAGAACCTTTAACAACAACCAAGCATTTATTCCCAATTAAAAACCAAACAAAAAAGAAAATAAAAATCTAGAGTTGGTGCGAGTTCTTCACCGGGGATACCTGGTGGAGTTTGCAGGGAGGTTGAGTTTGATCGAAGGACACGACGGGGTCGTAGGCGGATAGGCGATTTAGCAAGTGTAGGCTTACGATCAGATTTCATCTTAGACATGATAATATCTTTTTCCTTTCCCTGACAGAGAAACTGCGGAGCTTCAGAGAGAGAGAAACAAGAGTATTAGAGAAAATGATTGAAAGAGAAACCTACGTCGGAATTGTCGAGACAGTTTCTACTTTTTTATTAATAACTTTTTCAGTATGTTGTCCATTTTATTGTGAGACACTGATTTGAGGTTTGAACTTTGAATTTGCACAGGGGAGAGAATGAGGGAGCGTTTCAAACGGTCATATCCATGATCTGACGGTTACAATTGGTGTCACTGACATAAGACATTAGATTTGAAAGGCTTGTTTCAAAATCAAAAGCACACAAAGCCCCAATTGTTGGGCCCAACTAAAAATAAAAGGAAATCAAAACAAAGAGGTATCGAGGATTCAACTGTTGACCCACCCAGGTTGAAAGCATTGATACTGATGATTCAAAAAAAAAAAAACGAACCCATTTTCTGGGAAGGTTGGTCTGACCTAGTGATATTGCTTAATTTGAACAGATGTGGAAAGTAGTAATGGGCCCCCACAATCAGGCTACGGAAGTTCAGTCCAAAAACCGAAGGGACCGACCGAGGAACCGAGCATAGTTTGATCTGACCCGCCTAATGAGCTCCACAACTTGCAGCAGTCCATCTTTGTATCTTCCACTAAACAAAGTAAGTAATTAATGTAATACTAACGGAGAGACTAACTAAACAAATAAATTAATTAACCTGCTTCTGGAATCCAATCCGATCAAAGATCAGAACATAAAGATTACAATAAAACAAAACGATGACCGTGGCTGGCTGTCACCTTTTGTGGGAGCATTTATTTAATTTTTTTAATTATTAAATCGATCTTTAACCAAGTAGCGGCAGAGCAGTAACAAAAAAAATATTAAAAAAATAAATAAAAATAAAAGAAGGAAAGCAGGCCGTTGTACGTGGAAAATCCAGCAGACAAACTGACAAACAAAGCCACACATTCTGTTTGAATCCAGTTCATCATCTAAACTAGAAAGTCTTCGCAAATTAAATTTCTTCGTAGAAATTATGAAATAAAACCGACCCAGCGCCAGCAGCGTCTGTGTTTTTCATTTCATTCTGTCGGCCATGGCTGGTCTCTTTCTTCTCTTCTCTTTTTTCCTCTCCTTCTTTGCTTCTTCGCCAAGTTTCTCTTCCGTTTACGCCGACGCTAATCTCACCCAACCTTCTTTTACTCGCATCAACCGCGATCTCTACCATTCCAGGTATGTTTTCTCATTACTTTGTTTTTTTCATGTTACTAAAATCTCAGAATCCGGTTTTTTCTTCAATTTGTGAAAAAAAATTGGTAAAGTTGTTCTCTTTTTTTTGGTGGCGTATGATTTAATATGAATATAGGGTCTTCAAATTTGTCCATCAACGATCAAGCTTATCAGCTCCCATTACTCGAACGATAAGCAGAATATTATAATTTTAACTTTCTTTAATATTTTGGTCGATGAATGAATCTTCTGAACCCAAAAAAAGAATAAAACAGAGTTGGTTTGCTGCAAACTCCTGCGGAAATATTTAAGTTTGAAATACAACTGACAAAGTGAAACCCAAGTAGATTAGAGTAGGGAGATCTCTATAACAAAATGTTTTGTTAATGCTTCAAGTAGGGAGATTTCTATAACAAAGAGTGTTCTTGGTGCTTCCTTATTATGCATTTAATCAAATTGACTGCCTGATATTCCTTACAAGCAGAGACTCAAAGTCTTCTCTAATTTAAACATCTCCAAAAATGGTAAATTTAAGCTTGCCCACACTAGTTTCTGGAGAATTACACGATAACCTCCCCTTTTGAATTAATTTGGCATGGTGGAATTTGCCAGACTATATTTGAATGTCAGATTTTGAATTTTCTGCCATACTTTTAAGTTAACTGGTTTTTGGATCACAAGAATCATTGACGTGAGAAGAAAAGGAGTAACAGTCTGAGAATAGACCGAAAATCAAAATGAACTAATGTAGTCTAGATTTTTGAAACTTTTGACTTACCAAGTTTCTGAAGATGATGTGAACGTTCTAGTTCCCAAAACCAAACTTGGGAATTTAGAGCCTTATTATCTTGGTTTCTTGTTTTAATTTATTTCGATACCATTTTGCAGTAATGATTTGATTGAACAGATAAAGTCCCTGGTCCATCGACACCCTGACAAACTCACTGTAGGTGGACTACAACTTCTTATATTTGGAAACAATTATTGCGTGGGAATTTGGTTTATGATTATTCATGCTATGAACAGGTAGAAACAATTAAAGCTGGAAACAAAGGTTACGAGGCAGAGATCACTGTTGTTACTTATTGCCAGAGTAGAAAGGAGAGTGACGACAAGTCAAAGTTTAGGATCCTTCTTGTAAGTTTCCTGCATATTAATGTTTTGTGAATGGTATGGGAAGAACAATTGATGTTTTTGCTTTCTAGTTATTAAAGATTTTAACAGATGGAATCTAATGCTTAAATTTGCATACGATTACTGTATTTGCTAACCTTGTTTCTAATCTGATATGTAGTTAATAGATGATCTCAGATTGGTAATTGCTGGTGTTCTTGACAGATAATTCCTTGTCTTCCAGAGTTTTGGGCAGCATGGAAGGGAGCTTATTACATCTGAACTGGCATTAAGGATCTTGTCAATCTTAAGTGAAGAACAGTTTCTACCCAAGATGGACCAAGCTTCCTTAAATAGTAACCTTGACAACGTAGTTATAAAGGTAGTTTATGTTTACTTGCAAACATTCATGGCTTTTGTTTTCCCACAATATGAATTAATGTATCTGGTGAAGTGAGTTGTTTATGCAAATTTAGTTTCTCTCTATCTTGAATTTTGAGGTTGCTACAGGAGGAAGTATGAATAAGATTTTGTTATTTAATATCTTCATAGATTGATTTTCAGTTGGTAATATGTGTCCCATGTGATGCTAGATTGCTAGATATATATATCATGTAAATTAAAATAATAAAAAAATTGCCTTGATTTCTTTACTTATTTTGGGAAATAAGACTTTGACCATTAGTAACTTGAGTGCTAATATCCAATAACATTGTAGGTAGTGCCCATGGAGAATTTGAATGGTCGCAAACTTGTTGAAGCGGGAGATCTTTGTGAAAGGAGAAACGGTAATGCAATTTATCTTAAAAATATAAAATATCTATGATCTTGTTAGTAACAAGTTGAAACATTTAAATTGGTTTCTTTGGCAGGGAGAGGAGTTGATCTCAACCGGAATTGGAGTGTAGATTGGGGAAAGAAGGAGAAGGTTCATTATGCCTCTCATTTTCTTCATACAAATCCTATTTGATATAGTTCTTAACACAGTTGCATGTTTAAGTTTTATCTTCATTTACATGATGAGGTTTTTCATTTAATTTTTTTCTTCAATTATAGGACTATGATCCATATGAAGAGAATCCTGGAACTGCTGCTTTTAGCGAACCTGAAACCCAAATCATGCGTAAACTTGCCATATCATTTGATCCTCACATATGGGTTAATGTACACTCTGGGATGGAGGTGAGTGATCCTGAATTTCATGTTAATCCTTTCTTTTTCCTTCATTTACCAATTTTTGCCTTAACTATTGTTAGATGCTTAAGCTATTCTTTACTAAGAATTGCAGCATTAAAGTACCTTTTTGGACCTTGAAATCTCTAGGAAATATTCACATGCACTAAAAGGCATCTTCTTTTACCTGAAATGTTTTGTCAAGAGGAATTAATCCAGTTAGTTTGCAATGTGCATCTATACATGACAAAAACTCAAAGCAAGCGATAATCTTTGTAATCAAGAGAAAACTTTGTTTGTAGGATATTATATAATGTTGGTAAGAGCATATAACAAAAGATTTGATATCCTGTCTATACCAGATTGAGGAGAGGAAGACTGGTTCTTGTATTTTATAATGTTTTAGTATTTTTGGTTGTCCGTATTTCAGTTTTTGAAGTCAAACTCTAGTACCATACCAGTACCTTTTGCGGAAGAATAGCCATCCCTGCTCAAATATGTATTGATTGGGACTGAATTTAGTATATGTGGGCTTGATAGAGTTAATTTTGCGATATGTCTTTCGTTTTCATTCTACTCACTGATGCCCAAGCTTGCTTTATGCTTTTTGGTCCTTTTCTTTTCACTTAGGGATAGGTCTGAATACTGTCTGTATGACCTACTTCTTGGTTTTGATTATAATTCTTGTAGGCACTATTTATGCCGTATGACCACAAAAACAGAACCCCTGACGAATTGTCATCACATCGAATGAGATTGTTGCTTGAAGAACTGAATAATGTTCATTGCCACAAGCGTTGCATGATTGGTTCGGGTGGAGGCTCTGTCGGGTTTGTATTTTATTCTTAGAAGTGAGGATGATTTGTGATAGCATCATGCTAGTTAAGTACATAATATCTAATGATAGTAGTCCAAGAATTTGAGGGATAGTTCCATTTCCGAATAAAATATCCTGCATTGGCAACTAATAATTTGTACAGCTTCATTCCCTTTTCTTTTAGGGTTGTCTTTTGGAAGCTATTTTTGGTCAAGCATTTCTATCCTGTACAAGTAATTTATAGTGCATGACAATGACTTCATTCTTCAAATCCTTCATTTTTTACTAGAGCACTCTATAGTTCAGTGAATTACTATGTTTGCAACCAAAGGCATGAGATTAAAAGTCCCAAGCAGGTTTTAATGGAAATCTCTCTGTTTTTCTCACTAAAAAGTAAAAGTAAAAAAGAAATCTTTGTGTTTTAAAATATTTTACTTGTTTTTGGTTCAATCTCATCCCACTAATAACTGAATGTTACTGATTTCAGTTATCTGGCACATGGGACAGCAACAGATTACATGTATGATGTTGTGAGAGTACCCATGGCATTCACCTTTGAGGTATTTGAAATGCAAACTCTCTTTTCACTGAATAACTTAAAGAAAATTAACCTCATTAACAGTTATACCTTGCATGTTGGGTGGCAGATCTATGGAGATGGTACAGCCTCGGCAAAAGACTGTTTTAAAATGTTCAATCCAGTTGACCTTACCACCTTCAAGGTACGTTAACTTGCCTCTAAAATCCACTGCTTACAGTTTTTTATTTTTCATTTTGCTTTTCTAAATATAAGATTGCATGTTTTTACAATTTTTTGAACTTTTTCTAAGTAACAAAGATTTTGTTTGGGTTTTCAGAAAGTTATCAATGACTGGTCTGCTGCTTGTTTCACAATTTTTAAGCTGGGACCACGTCAGCTTGATGTCCATTCCAAGTCTGGTGCATCTAATATGGACAAATGGGTGTCCATAGATGAATATCTTGATGGTTACTTAATGGGTAGAAGAAGTAGATATGAGAAGAAGACGGAGGTGCTTGAGGTTGGAATGCAGGAGATAAGAACATATTTCAGGCTTTTCTTGTTATCCTCAGTGCTGTTACTGTTCATGTTCTGTTCTCGAATTTCAAAAACTAAGGGTGGCAGACAAATTGTTTCGGCTATACCTCTTTGACACTTTACATGGAATACAAAGTGGGGAGGGCTGCACGTTACCTTCTTTGAACTAAAGATGTATGCTGTGATTTTGTACAAGTGAATAGAGTTTTTTTTTTTTTTATTTTGTATGTTGTTCTTTGATAATGTAGATGTTATTTTACCTTTCTTTGCGGTGTATCAAAGCTAATGCTTTCACATTTGCTGCAATGGAAACGTGATCCCAATACTAATCAACTTTTTTTTCCAATTAAAGGGATCGACGCTAATCTTTTGAACGTCGTATGTTGAGGATATTAAAATTTTGGCGACCGTGGGAACACATCATTTACATTTAAAACAAGCAATCACGTGCAAGATTTTGATTTTCTTTTTTTTTTTTTTGATAACTTTGAAAGCGTTTGCGGGCATCCAGGAGTTGCATGGCGACAGATGGTATTTTCTATAGAATGAAAGAGAGAACAGAGATTAAAAGCAGTCGTCGCTGCTGTTTAAATATTGTTTTCTATATAATGGTTATTGTTTTGAAATATAACACAAGATTGCAGACAGCAGATTAGTTGCTATTTTGTAATAGTGAAAAAAATTGTTCTCTAACCTAAATGAAAAAGAAGAAAGGGGAGGGCTTCGTCATGTCTTATGTACAGTAGTCCTAGCGTATAACAAGTGTCCTCATTCCAAGCTTCGGAACACAGCTCCTTGAGTTCAACGATTCCCAAGAGTCACCCGAGGATAACCCTGCATGGTAGCATGAATTAATGGTTCCTGCAAAACAGTTTCTGAAGGAAAACAATTAACTAGATATATAGCAGAAGATTGTCATATGTTACTTGGTATAAAATGACCATTGGTTTAAAATATCCATTCCCTTTCAATTCAAAAAAACTTAATTGTTGATTCTTTTAAACTGAGTCACTTGTGAGCCAAAACTGCACAAAAGAACTTGCTTTCTTTCTTTCAAGATGGCATTTTGCAAAATGTTCAAACATCAAAAAAAGGAAAATGGCTACTAACCTCAAATTGATAACTCAAACAACAGTTCATTCCGTTATAAATTGCTTTAGTCACATGGATTATGGAATGTCAACTATGACTTCACTGTTTGCTTCATGTCTCTCACAGCAGACCGTAACATTACCCTAGCTTTTCTATCAGGAGTGCAACCAGACAAAATCATCTCTTCCTATACAGCTGGGACCTGAATTCAAACGACACAGAGTATCTTTAAATAACAATAAATGGATGCTATAAATATAAATAGATGACATGGTGCAATGCTTACATCAACAGCAAGAAAAGTTGTAGCAGCAGTGATCAGAATTAGTACCACAGATCTATTGGCTCTTTCAACATTTTAGTGAACAGGACAAGAAGTAAACTGGAATGAATGTTGCTATATGCAAGAGAAGAGAGGGGGAGGGGGCGGGAGTCAGATGTGGGACCATAATATGAAAGTTTAAGGTTGTTTTCTGTTGAGGGTGTCTTCACAATCAAGACTCAAATCTGCAATAACTATAGCTAAATCAGCCAACATATAAAGAGCAAGAACACAAAATTGGCAAAGAGAAAAGGCAGTAGGCTACTAATCCAAACGGCCATGCATAAAAAAGGCGCAGAAAATATTATTTGTGGTATAGGAAAGCAGAGGAGGCTAATATCTCATTCTCATAGCAGAAAGGACACATTAATTAATACCTTATAAAACTCGTCAATACAGATAAGAGCTTTTAGAAGTGTAGTATAGGTAACTACATCTGGTTTCACATCCTGTATATAAATTGAACCAAATAATAATGTCAAAAGTATCACTTAAAAGAATAGTACTAATAATTTCAAGGCAGGCAAACAAAGGTAACAGGGTACTCACATTTACTTTCATATATTGCAATACAGCGAAGGCCTCAACATCCCTTCTATCCTCACCAAAAGCATCGGTTAGTGAATTGAGAGCCAAGAGATCAGGCTTTAAGCCATCTGCTCTCATAATCCTTAATGCATATATTGCCTGCTCAGATAAACCCTGTTTAAAAGCAGAAAGAAGGATAATAAAGGTATGCCCTCAACATCTCATCCAATAGAGCAAGCTCTTGCTAAACCTCAAACTTTAAGTTGAATAATAAACTGACAGGCTGTGGAAAATGCAGTCTTTGTGCCAAGCAGATCATTAGACTAGCATTTTTTGTTCATTGCAACAACATACACCCAAATAAACCCTCCATAAGATTTTAACTTACTAGCCTAAAGTACATCTGGTACACTTTCCCAACAATTTCCAAGTAACCAGGAAACATGCGAGAGAATTCTCAAGATACAGACCATATTGAAGAGGATCAAAATTGTCAACAAATCTATATACTATGAAGTCACCAACACATAAAAGCTTTACGTGTGACACAGCTAACTAAGCCTCCCAATGAAGGAGAATATAGTCCATCATGTGTTTCAATCTATGATGGTATAGCTGCCATAATGTTGAAAATTTCCATCTAGCACAGCTATGTCATTGCTTACAAATAAGACAGCAACAAGTAACTGTACAGCGGCCATCAAATTGATTAAAGTACGCATATCATAGCAGTGCATGAGTCAGAATTAAGTAGGAAACTGTGGCCAAACATGAGAGTTGAATGAGAACTGAAACAATGATAGGATAACGTACCCTCTGTGCATAGGCATTTATTAAGGCATTATACATGGTTGAGGAAGGTTTTAACCCAGCAGACTTCATAAGCTCCAAGCACTCAAAGGCATCACTAAACCTCCCAGACTTTCCATAAATATCTACAAGTGTGGTATATGTCACAATATTACGCAACAAACCCTGAGTCTGCATCTTCCCGAACAAGCACTTCAGACTACCAGCATCTCTCCTGTTCTTCAAATGAATTTATCATAATATCATCCGTAGCAGTGCATGCTGAATACCCTTTTTCCTTCATTTCCTCGAACAATTCCTCAGCTCTGTCGTGCCCCCCTGCTTTACAATGGCAATCTATTAGCGTATTCCAACTAACAGTACCTGGCTCAATACCCTCTGATAACATCCGATCAAACGTATCCATGGCATGATCAAGACAGTTATACTTCCCGAATGTATCAATCATCACATTATAAAAAAGCCTATCTGGTTGAATCCCATTACTCTTCATTTCCCTCAAAACCTGAAATGATCTTTGCCATTCTCCTTTGTTTTATATAACTAGCTAAAGTCCTACCATAAACAAAAGAATTCGGCTGCACATTATTGACTTCCATCTGTTTCAACACAGTTCTTGCACTCTCCCCTCTACCAGCATTCACATAAGCATCAACTACAAGACTATAAGTATGATCATCAGGTGAAACCCCACTTTTTTCCATCTCGGATATAACTAACTCTGCATCTTTCAAGGAACCCGCTTTCACAAATCCTTTAAGAAGCGCATTATAAGCTCTGGTTCTTTGCTCCAATCCACTTCCTTTCATTTCTTCAAAAACAGCTTCAGCCCCCGCCATCCTCCCACAACAACCTAACGAATACATAACCGCCACGAGAGTAACCGTTTTCGGGTTCAACCCAATTGCTTGCGCCTTAGCTAAAAACTTTAAAGCCCGGCTTGGATCATTTGCTTTAGCGAAACCAACGACTATATCATTCAAAAGCTGGCCATCGACCTCAATTTCCCAATAAAGCTTCTGCAAAAGAGATGAATCAATCTCGTTGTTTCTAGTAAGCAACTGAATTATCAAGCTGTAATTCACAAAATCTGATTGCTAACCATCGTTAGGCGTTCTAGACATAAGATTAAGAGCCTTTTCGAGATCGTTGTTGCGGGCGCACGCGTTGATTAAGGCGTTGTATGTTAAGGGAGTTGGGGTCTGCCTCTGAGAGAGTAAAAACGCTTCGTATAGCTTCTGGAGCGGCGAAGGGCGTGGATTAGAATTGAGTAGAAAAGTTCGTAGGAGAAACAAACGTTGTGTCTTTGAAGCCATGAAACGACGGCGTAAGCTAAGTACATAGAAGAGGAGGACGAAGTGGAACATAGTGACTTCAATAGAGAGTGCCAAACTGGAGCAGGTACCGCCCGGTATGACTCGGCGAGCTGGAACTCGGTAGGGTCAAGCGAAGTGGGTGAGGCTGAGTCGGAGTCTGAGTCAGACTCCATGTTGGAGCGGGAGACGTAGTCGAGTAACGGAGTGAAGTCGTAACGGCGCTTGTGAATAGAAAGAACATCGTTTTGGTCATCATTTTCATCGTCATATCTGTCTCTATCTCTACCTTTATCAATTGTGAGGGTGCTGGAGGTTTCAGTGGCGGCAGCCATGTAGAGAGACGTTTGGAGGCTGACGTGGCAGCAGGAGCAATCTTTTATTTCTGCGTCGTTTGGAGATGGGAGAGAGAACGAAATTGCTTTAATCGGTTCTTCGCCGGTTACTTTCGTGGTCGTAACCGTGGCGAAGCAGTTTTTTTTTTTTTTTTTTTTAAAGAAAATCAATTTAATGCAAAGCGACGCCGTTTAATGTAAAGGAAATGAAGTTTTTATCTCCTATATCGCGACCTACGGGATGTTGTTTTTTGTTTTTCCCATTCATAGCATATTAGCATAGCAATTAAGAAAAACGTACACATATGTTTCATAAATGCAAATAATCAAGTATGATATTTATATTAATAGTTTTCATGAGAGGTTTAATAATATGGCAAACCTTTTGGCATTCCAATAACTTCAAAAGTTGAAATAAAATTCATTTTCCTTTGAAAAAACACAAAAAAAAAAAATTCAATAAAAACGAATTATAATTAAATATTACAAAGATTTGTGTGATTAAGCTTTGGTTAATATTGTGAAACAACTTGTTTAACCTGCTTTCATGATCTCTTATTTTCAAGCTTGTTCAAAATTAACATAAATTATTTATGAAGTGAGTATAGATTTTGGTGAATCAACAATTACATTACAATTAAATATATTGAAAAAGAAGCACAACTTGATTAACTTTGGTCAAATGCTCGCAATGAGGTAAGGCTGCTACCATATTCCATCTAAATCTTGTTTATATATATATATATATATAATTATCATCAATTTTGGTGATCAAGGGTGGCTTCCCTCTTTAATTACATAACTCATTCATATGTCCAATACTAATTGCACAATATTAGTTTTAAACTACAATGTCAATCAAAGAACACTTGTCTCAATTTAAACGACTAGTGTTGGTGCCTATGACAACTTTATTTAATATTACTATGTATCATACATATGATTATATCATATATGAATTATTCGATTTATTACAAAAAAGAAGAAATATAAAGATCTTTATTATTTTTATGAATAAAAAAGGGCTGGAGGAAGTGTAATGAATTTAGGCAAATTCAATCCATTATCAAATCATCTTGTTGGGCTGACCTTAAATATAAATTTAGGCCCATCTTGTACCTAGATAACCAGTTTCACTCTCCCGGCCTGCCCAATGGATTGTGCTTTTTACACACCGTACAGTCTGCCTCTCTGGGTTAGTATTTTTACCCTACTTGAAATGAAAAATAAAACATGTGTTGATATTAAGTGGCGGTGCTCAAAGGCAACGGTATATAATGAACCTAACGAAATAGGTAGTAGCAATTCAACCAAAAACCCGTGCCGCTATTTTATACTCTGTTAAGCATCGGTGTTAGGGTTTAAATATATATAAAGAAAAAAAACCTCGGCGGCTTTGCATTTGATGTTTCGTTAGGGTTTCTACGGTGCAGCTCACCATGGGAGGATCTCGAGTTCAAGTCAATAAGCCTCACAAGTCCCGTTTCTCCTCCAAATCTTCCAGGAGTATTCACAAAGTCTCTCAAAAAGGTCCCCCCTCTATTCGACTTCGATGACTCAAAAATAGTTTTTTGTTTTTGTTTAATTTCATTTTTTTTACTTTGAATTTTTATCAGTTTTCTGAATGATTCTTTTACCTGTTTGGTGGTTTAGATAAGAATCGTATTGCAAAATCAGACCGAAATGTAACGAAGGGAGCCCGAGCTGCTCGGCTTCAGCGAAGCAAGATGGTGATTGATAATAAATTCGAATGTTTCTGATGCTTAACTGGTCAATTTATTGTCGTGAGCATCTCACATTGGCAAATTCTATTTGGTTTTGCAGCTACGAGAACAGAAAAGGGCAGCTCTTTTGAAAGAGAAAAGGGCTTCAAGTGGATTGGCCAGCCCTCCCCGCGTCATTGTAAGCTTTTTGTATAAATTAAATCTTCGGATATTGTTGCTTTGAGTTGGTTTTTTTTCATCCTTGTGATTTTTTTTCCCGACAGCTTCTTTTCCCGCTTTCTGCATCTGTGAATGTAAGTTCACTTGCTGAAGACCTTTTGCGATTGCTATCAACAGAATGTACCGGAGTTTTGTCATCAACAGTTGCTTCTTCCGAGTATAAACTGAGACTAACAGTAGGCATCATTACCCCCTTTTTCATGTTTTATTTAAAGACAGCTGCGACATGATAACAGGGTTTCAGGCATTACTTTTCTTTAATTTTTCGTTTTCAATGATGGATTTCTGTTTATCATTATTAGAAGTTTGGTGTAATGCGATTGTTGAAACGTACGGCTTTAATCCATGATATGCAGTGCAAAAACTTGCAAGCATCTAACTTTTAAGTTATTCTTTCTAGGTACTGCAAGCTCCTCATGGGGATCTATTATCATGTATGGAAATGGCCAAGGTACAAATTGTCCACAGTATGGTGATATATTATGTTGACCTCGTTTAGTACCACTCTTCTTTGTTTTATTTTGTTCCCTTTAATGGTCAACTGCCTTTTGAATTGTAGGTTGCTGATTTGATTGCTTTTGTGGCATCAGCTACTGAAGGAGTCAGGTGTGACTATATTGATTCATTTGGAAGTCAATGCCTTTCGGTGTTCAGGTCTCTTGGTTTACCAAGCACTGTTGTCTTGATTCGTGTATGTTATCAGTTTATGGCTCTATGTGGTTTGTGTACTTGTGACATTTCTAGCAAAGCGAGTAATGAGGTTAAAGTTTTTTTCCTCCAGGATCTACCTACCGAGCTTAAAAGACGAAATGATGCAAAGAAGATCTGTACTTCTAGTCTTACTTCTGAATTTCCAGAGGATTGTAAGTTTTATCCTGCGGATACAAAGGATGACTTGCACAAGGTGATTTTCTCTGCCATGAATTATCTTTTTGAGTTCAATCTCTGACATTGATTTATCTGTGAATGAATGAGATTGAGATGGAATTGAATAATGATTGTTTTCCATTTATGCACATGTTTTTTCGTTTCTAATACGCTTCACTGATATGCTGATTGCAGTTCGTGTGGCTTTTCAAGGAGCAAAGGCTCACAACTCCTAACTGGCGAAATCAACGGCCTTACCTCATGGCACAAAAGGTAATTATAAATTATTGTAAAGTTTTACTTGAATTTCTACTAAGGTGGCATACATGATGAGGAAACTTTAACATAGGGTATTTTGGCAATGCAAATCTTGGAGATGTTTTGACATGCATCTTAAAGAAAAGTTGAGTTATAGGTTTGACTCATTCATTTTGTGATGGGTAGACAAATCCTTTTATATTCCTGTTAATTTTGTTTTATATTACTTGTTTGTGTCAAAAACCTTTGAAGGTTAAATTTTACAGACTTCTATGTTTTAGGTTGATATGGTTCAAGATGATTCCAGTCCAGGAAAGTGTACTCTTCTCCTCACTGGTTATACACGTGCTCGCTGCCTCTCTGTGAACCAGCTGGTAATTATAGCTCTCTAAGCTTGTGCTTTACATGTTTATCCGGTGTTTGTTTCTTACGCTCTTTTACATTAGGTTCACGTCTCTGGTGCGGGGGATTTCCAGTTGAGTAAAATTGAAATTATAAAGGATCCTACCCCTTTAAATACCAGAAAAGAGCATGATGCTATGGATTCTGATGATATTCAAGTTGTTGAGGTACTGCTCCATTTTCTTTCATGTAGCATCTGGTATCACTGTTAAGATTACTGTGGTGATTTAATTAACATGATGATTAGATCTTCAAGGTAATTTGATCACTAGTGATATTATATTATCATATATGGTATAATATTATAAGTCACTAGTGATGTTAAATCACAGTGTTTGGTCTTGCATATTTCAAAGACCACTGGATGTAAACACCCCAAATAACCTTATTGTTAATAATAAAAATATTTAAAAGAAATCAACAATTACAATTTTTATTGAATGAACGATTTCTAATATAAGAATTCATTGTTGTATAGAAAATTATGGGTATTAACTAGTTTTGATGAGTATAATTTGAAATTATTGACATGTTCACATTTAAGGTCACATAAGTTGTCTAATATTACAAAAACTAAAAATTTGGGCAGTAACATATTTTGGTAGGCATCACTTTGATAAATTTATCCTGAAATGATTTTGAAGATCACTCTCCTGGTGATGAAATTTTCCCACCCTTTTGGATGGGATTTAGATCACCTCACAAGACAGTGATCTAATCACTCTGGTGATCTAAGATTTCTACCATGTAGGATTTCCAAGTTACTACCAAACACTGTGATAAGTGATTAAATCACTCCATAGTAAACGCCATCTAAAGAGAATTCATCACTATATTAGAAATGAGTCTTTATTTTGTGTACTGGATTGCAATGAAGTGGGTAATGAGCCTTTTGTTTTTGCTTCTTTGGTTCCAGGTTCTTCATTCCCTAGCTCCTGATCCGTTAAACCTGGAGCCTTTGCTTGTTGAGAATGTTCCAGATCCACTTGCTGGAGAACAGGTAATTTGTTTGAGTATCTAAGCTTTAAGTATCATGTTTCCCATCTCCTATTACTCAGTGCTGTCACAACTTGCCTTGTTGGCATGTAGATTAACAGAGTTACTACTCTGGCCTCCTCATTCTTGTTGAGTACTGACTTCCCTAATATTGTTTCATCTCATATTAACTGTTTCCTTCAATTATTAGTCTAATGTGGTCTTTTGGAGTAATAGACATGTAACTAAGATTTAAGGAGATTTTGTGTTGAAAAATTATCTGAATATGCTTAATAGATGAGTATAACTAAATCGAATTGAGACATCAGAACAACCATTGGTTGTATTTTCATACTTTTGCATCCATATTAGAAGTGTGCCTTTAAGAAGATGATTAAGTTGCCACTTGTCTCCAATTTGACCTTCAAACTATTTTTGTATCAGCTTAGCTAACTTGTAATTAAGGTTTCTTAAATTAGTTAAATTATTTGATATGTACACCCGCATGCATACATCTAGTTGAAGTTGGGGATGTTGAGTGCAATTTATAGTGTTGTTTTATTCTGACAGACGTGGCCCACAGAGGCAGAAATGGCTGAGGCTGATAGAAACCAAAAGCAAAAGAAGCTGAGAAAGAGAACTCTCCCTCGAGGCACTTCTGAGTATCAGGTCTGAATCTTCTTGACAATTTTTTGGCATTCTGTAAGAGCTGCTGTCTTCTCTTCTGTTTTTATTTATCATATATTTATGGATAATGATCTAGTTGTGATGACTTCAATAACTGCGTTGTAGGCTGCTTGGATCGTAGATGATACAGATGAAGAGCATTCTGATGCCAAGGATGATGGTGATGATGATGAGGATGATGATGGCATGGTATTGGATGAAGGAGAAAGTGGTTTTCCTAGTCAAGAAGGCGCCAATAATCTAGACTTTGATGAAGATCAAGCTTCTTTGTACTTAAGGGACTCTGATGAAGAAACTGAAAATGATTCAATGATGATGGTAAGTCTCCTTGATGCATCTGTTCTGATTCAATTTTTACATAACTAATTGTAAAGAAGTGCCAGCTATACGTTCTTGCATATCTTTGCTCCATGTGGCATGCATGACATTTTGTCTTTTTCTCTTGAATATTCAGTATGTTAATTTTTTTTTTCTCTACATGCAGGAAGGGGAGAATTTGACAAGGGAACAGATAGAGGATGAGATTAAAAAAATAAAAGAGGCACATGCTGAAGATGAGGGTATTTATGTTTTCTTGACTGCTAGTAGAGTTTTGTTCAGAGCATTGCTAATCGTTTGTTGTCGATTTTTTTGTGTAAAGTTGGAATAATCTACATATTAAAAAGGGGAAAACCTAGAATTAGAGTAATTTATTATAACTGACTGACCCTTTCAAGCCCTTTGATGTAAATTGAAGCCACTATTTAAGTCTTCAAAGTCAAGTACAAGTGAGAGGGCATGCATGTGATAATTAGTTAGTAGTTATCAAGTTGTAAAATGAGGTAGGGCAGCTATCCCTCTACACAAATGCGCATGCCTATGCATTTTCTCGTACACTCTTTTTAAATCATCACAACTATGTATAAGCATCTCGTCATCTAGATGCTAATATACTTTGATTAATTGTTAATTTCAGAGTTTCCAGATGAAGTGGATACTCCGCTAGATGTTCCTGCTAGAAAGCGATTTGCGAAGCACAGAGGTGTCAAGTCCTTTAGGACATCCTTGTGGGATCCCAAAGTAATCTTATTGTGATACCATTCTTATAAGCTATATTGTGGGTTATTGTTATAAGTGTTATTAAAATTTTAGCTGGTGATTATTAGGAATCTCTACCTCCAGAATATGCCAGAATTTTTGCGTTTGACAACTTTGCAAGAACACAGAAGCATGTTATTGCAAAATCCTTAGAATTGGAGCAAGAGAGCAGAGACGACTGTGCCCCAGCTGGTTCATATGCAAGACTTTATATCAAGGAGGTACCTCTTGATGTTGCTTCAAAATTATGTGTGGTCTCAAGGACAGCACCCATTATATCATGTGGTCTCCTGCAACATGAGTCCAAGATGTCTGTCCTCCATTTTAGGTATCTTCTTTCGTAACATATTCCTGTTTAGACTTTCCTGGTTATTAGTAATAGCAATTTACCCATATTTATCTTTCTTATCTAGTACTTATGAAATTATTGGCAGTATAAAGAAGCATGATAGCTATGATGCTCCTATTAAAGCTAAAGAAGAATTCATATTTCATGTTGGTTTCCGCCAGTTTGTTGCTAGGTAATGCTCTTTTTACACCTTACTACGGCCTTGGACTTTTTACCAAAATTCTGAAATCCCTCTTTACTTATTTCAGACCCATATTTTCAACTGACAATATTAATTCAGACAAGCACAAGATGGAAAGATTTCTTCATGCAGGGCGTTTTTCAATAGCTTCAATATATGCTCCTATTTCTTTTCCACCTCTCCCTTTGATAGTTCTGAAGGGTGCAGGAGGAGCCAGCACACTTACAGTTGCTGCTGTTGGTTCCTTGAGAAGTATTGACCCGGATAGAATAATTCTAAAGAAGATTATTTTAACTGGGTATGGATTTTTTTTTTTTAAGATAAAATTTAATTGATGTTATGATCTTGTATCTTATAGTAGGATTCTACTGGCTAGTTTTTAATGCAAATATCTGTTGAATTATATACCTACAATTTCGGGCTTAAGAAATACTACCTATCAAGAGTATGAATGGTTGTTGTAGTTTGGATTTGTTAAGTTGGATTATATCTTGATGCAGTTACCCTCAACGAGTATCCAAGTTAAAAGCCACTGTACGATATATGTTCCATAACCCAGAGGACGTGAGATGGTTCAAGGTAGGATAATCTTTGCAAGTGATGTAAAATATTTTGTTTAGTACCAGAGTAGCCTGTGGAAGAATTAGTGTTACTTAAATTATAATTGAAATTCCTGATTTGGATGTGGTTGCAGCCTGTGGAAGTATGGACAAAGTGCGGTCGCCGTGGTCGAATTAAGGAACCTGTTGGCACACATGGTACGTGATTCCTCTCAAATATACATATGTAGCTATATGGCCATCTTTATCTGTGGAATCATACAATCGAGAAGTCAATAAGAATGCTTTACATAAGGAAGTGGTTTCTTTTCTTCTTTTGGCCAATCTTATCTGCTAGTAACATTTGTTTTAAACCCCTCTTTCTGGAAATAAAGGAAGAGTGGGGAGAGAGGAATATGGTTATGCATAATGTTTTGAGGTTCTGTAGAGATGGGATGTTTTCTTAGAACGGTAATATTTGTAAAATAAGGTGTCTGTAAGGGGGTTTTGCTTTTTGTTGTGCTATTATAAATTGATTTTTGGTACTTTTAATCTTCTAATAGGAATTGAATGTGTTGTGTTATTCATTGACTGATCATAATTCATGTGTCATTTTTTTTCTTGGAGGATGTTAAAATGCACTTCTCTTTGAGGAAAAAGCTGAGTAGTGATTTTTCCTTTTTCTTTTCTATCAGGAGCAATGAAATGCGTATTTAATGGGGGCCTTCAGCAACATGACACTGTTTGCATGAGTTTATACAAGCGTTCATATCCGAAGTGGCCGGAACACCGGTTTCCTCTTCTTAATGCTTGATTAGGAGCTTCTGTTTTCTAAAGATAGGAGCAAGCCATCAGGATCTTCTGCTTGCCCATGTTGGGAATGAAGCACCGGTTCAGAATGTCAATTCCAATTTCATGTTTGCTGTTGATAAGCTACGTGCAGTTGGGAGAATGGTCCATTTTTAGTTTTTTACCCTGCTATCTTCTTCGTCCTCTGTTTGGTGTGTTGGGTTTTTTGTGCATCTTGTGGGACAGTTGAAAAAATTTATTAAATATATTCATTTGATAAAAACTGATGAGGGGGAAAAACAAGGTGGGGGGGGGGGTGTGAGGAAGAAAAGCTTGATTTTTGTGTACGGGTCTGATTTTGTTTATCTCAATCATCATCAATAGTAGGTATTTTATTTATGAGCTTATGCTTTAATCTCAACTTATTAAATTAAGAAAGATCATATTCTTCGTGAGTAAATGAGAATTCAATATGGGCTGGTTCGTTTATTAATCATCTCAGAATTACCAACCCCACTTTCAATGGTCTCTATTTTAAGGAGCTTTTCGTTCTGCGCTAGCGTAACCATGTCTTGCTCGTCCCAGAAAACCTACGATTCAATCCCGTATCTCAATTTTGTATCCATGAGAACAATGATGTTCATGAATGAAGTTTCTGAGTTGTTGGAAGCAGTGCAAGTAACCCATAGAGACTTTACCCAGCCAAAAAATATCTCATAAAGGCCGAAGTTGCACCAACTACTAAACCCAATAAAATCAGTTTCACCAGCCCAGCAGCACCAGACGATGCCTTACCCATCTCCTCTCCCGAGATCTCCTCAAGTGATATATGCATATAGCATTAAATGCCTCCCTTATGTCATCTTTAACCCAGATCCTGAATTAAATATCAAAGGGCCCTTTTTCGTCTTTGTGCCTAATTGGTTAAAAGAATTTGACATGGTCAAGGCACTTTGAATGTAATTAATTAGCTGCAGGCTTACCTGTGAAGAGTCAGTTGCAACCTTTTCCTTTAGCCCGAAAGTGCAAGGTGGAGATTTTATCATACACGTGTTTAGTGTATGAACGACATTTGCCCTGTTGTTTTATATAGCAAGTAACCCCATCGGTTCTTCCCTTACATTAAACCAATTACCCTATTATTTGCATTATTCCCTCTTTTAAGTAATATGACTCCCTGCATCTGCTAAACCAGTATGTTCATGTTTGATTTCTGAGAAAGATGAGTACGAGAATTCTCTTCTCTTGCCTTGATTGATAAGATTATACAATCGGTTTCATCGAGTCCGAGAGAAAAGGTCACAGTAACGATTTTATTTTGAACGTTCAGAACCTGACCTTTTTAATTAGGCACTGGGTTACAAGCTTTGCGGAGGATGCAAGGAAGTTTCCCATGTTGCGCTCCCTTGCAATCAAGATTATATTTCATTTTCTTACGTGCCTATCGAAAAGAAGGCCTCTTTTTGTAACCCAAAAAAAAAAAAGGAGCCTCTTTTTGTAACCCAAAAAAAAAAAAAGGAAGGCCTCTTATAGCAGAATTTGTAACTTAAAATAATTACCACGACAAATTAACAAGAATAAGCTTCATCCTGAGGTTTAAAAGGACTTGGATCCAGGGAAGCAAACGAGAGTATCTCCGTTTTACTTTGTAATATTGCCATGTCTTTTTCATCCAATGTCACCCATGCTTCTATTCCATCACCATTTCTTGTTTCAATCAAAAACACCAAATTCTGAAACACTAAACCATCTATGCCACCAGGACTCACCCAGATGGGCTTTCCCCATCCGAAATCAGCTTCATAGATACCTACCTTCCACATACTGCTAAATGCAAAATAATCAGCTCCTCCATTAGAGTGCACTTCACCTAACTCTATGAGGCACTTGCGAACCTTTTGGAAACCTTTCTCACCTTGTAATTGTTAGACAAACTCACCACTAGTTTCCGTTATCGATTTCCTTAAGAGAGCCACCAATGACTGTAATTCTAAATTGGCCTCTGCATGGCACTGTTAGTGTGTTAGTGGTTGAAGCATGTTAGTGTGTTAGTGGTTGAAGCAACTAAGTATGGCATTTCTGCTGAAACTTTCTGACAGCAGATTAGTCTAGGTAAAATGATGGGTCTGTGCATGGTGACCCATGCTGTTAGGCCAACTACTTTTGTATTTTTGAAGCCTATAAATTAATGAAATGAAGCTCATGATCAAATGAGCCAATTTACTTCAAGTAACAGATTAGTTTCTCTTGTTTTCTGCTATAAATCCTTCAATTGGTATAAGAGCATTCCTTAAGTTCTTAGAGGATTTGTGAGTCCCAAAAATTGAGTGAAAAGCCATCAAACACTTTCCAGCCAGCCTTTGTCAACCTTAAATGGCCTCAAGCAATTGCTCCTTACCTCCACCTGCTATTTTTTCTGGTGAAAACTACCAGATATGGGCTGTCAAAATGAAGACTTATTTGAGTGCTTTTGATTTGTGGGAAGTGGTGGAAAATGAGAAGGAACCACCACAACTTCCTGCAAATCCAACAGTAACTCAAATGAAAAATTATAGTGAAGAAAAGACAAAGAGGTACAAGGCTAAAAGCTGTATTGAGTCTTCAGTTTCTGATGACATATTCATTAGAATCATGACTTGTGAAACTGCAAAACAAGCTTGAGATGTGCTCAAGGAAGAGTTTCAAGGCAGTGACAAGACAAGACAAATGCAAGTGTTGAATCTTAGAAGAGAGTTTGAAGTCTTAAAGATGAAGGAGTCTGAAAATTTAAAGGAGTACAATGACAGACTCATGAAGATAGTAAACAAGATTAGATTACTTGGTGAGGAGCTGTCAGACAAAAGAATTGTAGAGAAGGTTCTTGTCAGCTTACCAGAGAGGTTTGAGTAAAAAATCTCATCCCTTGAAGACTCTAAGGACCTGACCAAGATAACTCCAGCAGAATTGTTCAATGCTCTATAAGCTCAAGAGCAAAGAAAGGCTATCAGACAAGAGGATTCAACAGAAGGTGCTTTTACAGCCAAGGAGAAAGCCAAGATGCAAACAGAAAGCAAAGGCAGAAAACAAGGATATCAAAGAAACCAAGGTTCTAGAAACAGTGAAAAGAAAGGAAAATTTTCACCATGCTCTCACTGCAAAAAGACTACTCACTTGGAGAAATATTGCTGGTACAGACCTAACATACAATGTAGGTACTGTAAGCAGCTTGGTCACATGGAGAAGGTATGTAAAAATAAAAAACAGCAACAGCCAGATTAACAAGCCAGAGTTGCTGACAATCAACAACAGCTAGAAGAGCAAGTTTTTGTTGCAACTTGCTATGAAACCAGAACTTCCTCCAGTGCATGACTCATTGACAGTGGCTGCACACACCATATGACATCTGATATCAACATATTCAAAGAACTAGACAAGACCTGCACCTCTAAAGTTAGAATAGGTAATGGTGATTTCATAGAAGTCAAAAGAAAAGGAGTAGTGGCAGTTAAGACACCAACATGTACCAAACTCATTTCAGATGTGTTATTTGTGCCCAAAATAGATCAAAACCTGTTGAGTGTAGGACAGTTGCTAGAAAATAACTACTCTTTAGTTTTCAAAGACAAGGCATGCATAATTCATGATCCCACTGGCCATGAACTCTTTACTATTAATATGAAAGGAAAATGTTTTTCCTTGAATTGGCATGAAGCAAACTCCTCTGCATATGTTACTTCACATGATGAATCTTCTTTATGGCATAAAAGGATGGGACATTTCAACTACAATGCATTAAATTTCATGCATAAAAATGATCTTGTATTAAACATACCTATTGTTGAAGTCAGTGCTGGAGTGTGTGAAGTCTGTCAACTAAAAAAATAAAGTAAGTTGCCATTTGCAATTAACAAAGCATGAAGGGTAACTGAAAAATTATAACTTGTTCATACTGATGTTTGTGGTCCTATGAAAACCTTGTCCTTGAATGGCAGTAGATATTTCATTGCTTTTATAGATGATTTTACTAGAATGTGTTGGATTTACTTCATGAAACAAAAGTCTGAAGTTGCAAATGTATTTTGGAAGTTCAAGGCTTGGATTGAGAATCAAAGTGGCTACAAAATCAAGATCATAAGGTCAGACAATGGTACTAAATACACATCTGACAGATTTAATGAGTTTTGTGAAGTTACAGGAATTGAACACCAACTGACAGCAACTTACACTCCACAACAAAATGGAGTCAGTGAAAGGAAGAATAGAACAATCATGGAGATGGCAAGATGCATGCTGTTTGAGAAGAATCTTTCAAAGAAATTCTGGGCAGAGGCAGTCAATACCTCTGTCTACTTGCTCAACAGGCTGCCTACAAAAGCTTTGAAGGAAAACACTCCTTTTGAAGCTTGGAATGGAAGCAAACCATCAGTGCACCACCTCAAAATTTTTGGCAGCATCTGTTATGTGTTCGTTCCTGATATCAAAAGGGACAAGCTTGATCAAAAAGTAAAAATATGTATTTTTTTGGGCTATAGCAACATCACCAAAGGCTATAGGACTTACAATCCACTTACAGGCAAGATGATTGTAAGTAGGAATGTGAGATTTAATGAGCAAGCTGCCTGGAATTGGGAAAAATCAAAGGGAGAATCAGTCAAGCAAATTACTGCAGCCATGATAAGCTTCCAAGATCAAGAAGATTATATGTTTGAAAATGAAATCATTGATCATGAACCAGTGAGAGGAATAAGACCACTCACAGATATTTATCAAAGATCAAATGTTGTCATTCTTGAACCTGCAAGCTTTGAAGAAGCTGTCAAATTTTCAGAGTGGAGAAATGCCATGAAGGAAGAGATTCAAATGATTGAGAAAAATCAAACATGGATGCTGGTTGACAGACCAAGTAACAAAAACATCATTGGTGTCAAATGGATTTTCAGAACAAAGTTGAATGCTGATGGTTCCATCAACAAACTTAAAGCTAGATTGGTAGCTAAAGGCTACTCCCAACAGCTTGGTGTTGATTTTTCAGAGACATTTGCTCCAGTTGCAAGGTTGGACACTATAAGGCTGCTATTAGCCTTAGCAACTCAGCAAAGTTGGAAAATATACCAACTTGATGTCAAATCTGCCTTCTTGAATGGTTATCTTGAGGAGGAGATCTACATTGAACAACCTGATGGTTTTGTTGCCAAAGGACATGAAGGTAAAGTCTATCTATTCAAGAAGGCTTTGTATGGATTAAAACAAGCTCCCAGAGTGTGGAATTCCAGAATTGATGATCATTTACTGAAGTTAGGATTCAAGAAAAGCCTCAGTGAAGCAACATTGTACATTAAAGTTTTTAACAGTAATAATCTGTTGATTGTTTCTTTGTATGTTGATGATCTTCTTGTGACAGGTAGCAAATCAGCTCTTATGAAAGATTTTAAGCTCCAAATGCAGGAAATTTTTTAGATGACAGACATGGGAGAAATGTCTTATTTTCTTAGAATGGAGATTCATCAAGACCAGCAAGGAATCTTCATTTGTCAAACAAAATATGCAAATGAAATCCTGAATAAGTTTGGGATGGAAAATTGCAAACCAGTCAACACTCTTTTGGCTCAAAATGAGAAACTTGTTAAGGAAGATGGAGCTAACAAAGTTGATGGCTCTATTTATAGAAGCTTGGTTGGTTGCTTATTGTATTTGACAGCAACAAGGCCAGACATCATGTATGCTGTAAATTCACTCTCTAGGTTCATGTAAAATCCTAGTGAGTTGCATTTTAAGGCTGCAAAAAGAGTGTTGAGATATGTCAAAGGAACCAATGAACTTGGAATTTGGTTCAAGAAGAATGACAGTTCAAGATTGGTAGGATTCACAGACAGTGACTGGGCTGGCTCTCATGAAGACATGAAAAGCACTTCAGGCTATGTGTTTTTCATTGGATTAAATGTGTTAAGCTGGAATTCAAAGAAACAAGGAACAGTGGCTCAATCAACAGCAGAAGCAGAGTATATAGCTGTTGCAGCTGTTGTTAATCAAGCAATTTGGCTAAGGAAAATTCTGTTGGATTTGAGTCAAAAGCAAGATGATCCAACAGAAATTTTTTGTGATAATCAGTCAGCAGTTGCAATGGTCAAGAACCCTGTGTTTCATGGAAGAACTAAGCATATTAAGATCAAGTATCACTTTATTAGAGAAGTTGAAGCTGAGAATGAAGTGAAACTGGTGCATTGCAAGTCAGAAGATCAAATTGTAGATATTCTGACCAAAGCCTTACCAAAGGCAAGGTTTGAAACATTAAGGAAAAGTCTTGGTGTTTCCAGCAGAAATACCAAGGAGGAGTGTTAGTGTGTTAGTGGTTGAAGCATGTTAGTGTGTTAATGGTTGAAGCAACTAAGTATGGCATTTCTGCTGGAACTTTCTGACAGCAGATTAGTCTAGGTAAAATGATGGGTCTGAGCATGGTGACCCATGCTGTTAGGCCAACTACTTTTGTATTTTTGAAGCCTATAAATTAATGAAATGAAGCTCATAATCAAATGAGCCAATTTACTTCAAGTAACAGATTAGTTTCTCTTGTTTTCTGCTATAAATCCTTCAGGCACGGTGCAGTTGCAATCCAAAGAAGATTTCCAATTGAATGTTCGGGCAAGGATGTCGCAGTTTTTCCACGCAAATTTACAATATGGGATAAAACAGACCGCCTTCGGTATCCATACCTTATTCTGGAGGCAGCTGTAGCACATATCCAAATGAAAGCTGATACAGACTCAACACGGGTTGGATTTCGCACAAATGACGAGCTAGAAGCTCTGGCCTTCAGAGTTGCTATGGATGAAGCATCAAATACAAATCTCCTTGTAACACACTTGCCAAATTTTAGTAAGGACGGCCATATAGCTAACAATGTATCTCTTGGCAACAAATGATTCTGAGGGAAAAGCAGTGGTGCAATGAAACTAGGCCTTGGTGCTTCACCCGAACCTCTAGCAGAAGCCGCCCAGGCCTTGAGAAAAGTGGTTGATGTAGGGCCATCAATGATCTTATGCGAAGTTTGTGTGCCAATGGCAATGCCACCACACTTAAGTATGCTTACTTGAATCATGGCAACAGGAATTCCATCATTCGATGATTCCAACCGGCTGATGTTAGAAGGAAGCAATTTCCGTATCATTTGGCTGTCAGGTTTGCAAAGAATTTCTGACAGGGAACTCCAGAGTCGTTGCAATCTATGTAAAGACCATCTTTGATCTTTCCAGCAAATGGGTAAAAACTAGTCAATGTTTCTGATAGACATTACTTCAGCCTCTCTAATCTTTCGCTGACAAGATTCGTATTGTTAGAGTCACAATTGATGGGCCTATAAAAGAGGATCATTCGAACATGTGCTGATGGCATAAGCTGATCCAAAAGGGAAAGTTTGTAAGTTCCCAAGTGATGGGGTGTTGGGCAAGATGGTTTGATGCTCTCATTGGACATGATTTCAATCTCCATTTTCTTCGTTTTTTAATTTCTGCTTTTCTTACAAGTACATTAACACATTGAATTTGGCTGGCACTTTTTAAAAGTATTCTATAGAGGTTTGGGTGGATACCTAGGAACAAAGATTAAAACGTGGCATGAATTTATCTCTCGTATTGCAATCAGTTGTTTATGATTTCATTGGTAAAACTATGCTAATATAAAGGAAGAGTGCTATCATTTTGCATATATAAAACTATAGCACCAGACATATCCAACATAGATTTTATCTCATCAAAATGAGAAATATTGTTATCATTAATCTCCAGGCCGGCTTTATCTGATTTGTTTGTTCCTTTATCATCATCATCGTCCCTCTTTCATCTTTTTTATTTTAAACACAAGTCTTTGGTCTTATTTGGGCCTAGGTTAAGAAGGTTTCGGCCCCAGGAGCTTGACTAGTTTCCATGATGGTGCGTGATGGCCTGATGGGTTTTATCCAGAGACAATGACATACACTGCTCTAGCCTCTAATAAAGGTATTCTTGTTTTATCTCTAATCCTGCCGTGTTAAAGTCACTTTAGCAATATTGCCACCATTGTATGCACATTACCAAGAAAAAGGGATTTATAAGAATTTATTCCTGTTGCCCAATTCCCAAAATATCTCTAATTTACTTTGCTAGCTATTATCCTGAACTTATCTGCCAAATCTGTTTTATTAATTTTTAAGTATTCAAACTCTCAAGAAAAGAAGAGATTTAGAAAATAAGTTTTATTTTATGCATACTGGAAATGTTCTTCTATATATACAAAAATAGCTGTAGAACTTGGCATCATAATGCTTTGGTGCATCTTCATATTAACCTTTTAATTTTCAGACCCCTACTCTAAAAGATGCAATTCTAGTCTAATAATCTTCACTAATGAGTTCCTGCCTGCTCTTCTGTTTATTATAACCTTAGAATTGAATCCTGATGCTTTCTTGAAGATGAGAAAATAAGTAATTGTACACATTTTTACGCCCAAAACTCTCTTCTTGCTCTATCTTTAGTTTGTAAAATAAAAAAGCCAAGGGCAGCAATTGGTTAATACTTCATGTGTAGTTGGTCGGAATTCAGTTTCTAACACTTGACTTTATTTTATGAAGATATTGCTGGAATATGAAATTTTTTATGAAGCATTAAACCTTCTGGATCAGGCAAGTTTAGAAGGGTATCAACTGGATGTATTATTGTATAATACCATCCTTAAGAAAGCAAGTGGAAAGGTATCCTTTCGGTTTCTCTCTCTCTCTGCACATTTGGCATTACTCTTTGTGCAAATGCATATTACTAGAATAAATAACCTATGCAAAATTTTGCGTCTGAATTTGCTTTTCTCTCTATTTTCAGTGTATGCATGTTTCCTTCAGCATTTGGACTGACTGAGAAAAAGGGATTCTACATCTTTTTCTTTAGGGTGCCTTAGTAAAGGTCAGAATGTCTAAGCAACCTCCAGCTGATCTTTGATTGGTCATGTCTTGGGTATTCTTGTGGGATTTTACTGGTTCTGTTCCTCTAGATGCCATAGATAAATACATTTTATGAGTGAACACAAGATATGAGTTCTTGTGTCATCAAAGGCACTGCCTACTGGCTTCTGTTGGACGTCCGGACACACTCTGGGTACTAATACCAAGGAGATTGTTTAAGCTTATCATGCAAGCATCAATAGAGTATTCATTCTCTCGTATCTGGTGTTACCTACTGCACCCCTAACAACGAGGTCTCACTAAGATTCCTTATTGAAGGAATTTTCATGTTTTCGGCCAGAATTTATTTGAAGAATTGAGAACATGCCATTATTGCCATTAGAAGGTAAAAGGTGCTTTAAGATTGTGTTGAAAGTGTACTGGGCACCTAGGAGTCCTTTATTAAATTTTCTTTCTTTACATGTGATGATATCAATTATGTGCAGAGCATATGATTGGTAAATATAGTTACTCTTGAACATTATTAGTATTGTGATGGACTTTAGTTGCCTTACAAGTTATTGACATTGGTTCTGGATTTTTCACTGATGAGTGTCAGGGAAGGTTCAATATAATGGAATTTATTGTTTAGCGGATGTACCACGACAAAGTCCAGCCTGACCCATCAACCTGCTATTATGTATTCCCAACATATGTTGATCGCGGTTTTCACAACACTAGGTATTGTGTATGCTGATGATCTCTGATGAAGACAGCACAGGGGAAGAAAAATGGAGAGAATTCGAGGATGATTTTGTTCTTTCTGAAGTTTTTAAGGATTATGATGAGAATTTAGCTGCCGCTCTTTTGAGTTTAAGATGGTGTACCATACTAGGGTTTCCAATCTCTTGGTCACCTAGTCAAAGTCAACGAGCTAGAATACTGATAAATAAATATGAATCAACAAGGGCTGTTCGATGCGTAGCCAGCTAAAATTACTTTCAATCAGCTTCAATTTTTTTAAGCATTCAATCGAGGTATGGAATGGTCTATATGCAGATTTGCCTGAACGTTGCGACAGATTTGCAGATTGCAGCAAAGGTTCCCCTGCGGCCCTGCTCGGAATAACATGCAGAAGGCCGTAATGATAAGACCACTATAAATATCCAACCGGCTTTCAATTGCTTGATCGAGCTCGAGTATAGAAGATGCTAAGCAAGATTCTTCACACCCCGCAACCTTGTTTTTGGGGCAGACTACAAGGCCTCTCTGCCCCCAATTACTTGCAGTCAGTGAAGGCAGCAGTAAACTCTGCAAGGTAATGGATAACAATGACTTATGGCAAATCGTACAAGCCATTCAAGGGTGTTAACTAATGTCTCCAATGGTAGCTGTAGAAAAGAAAAAAAGAATGACAGACAGAAACCTTAGTGATTGACAACCAGATAAAGAAGTCAATAAGGAATTTGATATTTTAACTTATTGTAGCAGATCCGCAATAAAACTGTTGATCAGTGTATGTGTTCTATGAAAACCTCAACTTTGCTGTATTTAAAAGTTAGAATTCCTTTTGAGAAGCTTGTTTCATCAATAAGTTTTAAGCTAATATAAGAAGCCAACCATGCTAGGCATGCACAAAATTTCCATGTTTTCTCCAGCAGTTAATCACCCTGGATAACCCTCCTCAGCTTCTCGACACAATATAGCATTTTAATGTGCTCCAATTTGGCTACTGCATATATTTGCAATCATCTGCCAGCACCTAAATATTTTCTCCAGAAGGCAACTCCGCAAGCTTTGGAGGAGTGCCAAGTACTCTTTCCATATCAAAACGGACTTCAATGTTCCTAATGCTGTATCCAACCACCATCAGCCAATAGAGAAGCTTGGCAAGTTCTGGTGCACTAGTCTCAGTTACACGTGCCTGTAAAACATGGATATCAAAGTTAAAGGATGACACTTTCAAATGTTAAATGAAATTATAGTATTTTATGATTCCCACATTTTGTCACAAGGTGCATGTATCCCGAATTAAAAAGTTGAATTGGAATTCTCATTCCTCAAAAAGAAGAAGACAAATGCCAACTGATTTCTTCATATGAATGAACATTTAAACCGTAATGCCAAGAGTAGATGAAACAAAGTAAAAGTAAATATAAAGATAACCTTCATTTGTTCAGGATCTGAAACAACTAAAAGACGCTTAAGGAATGTGTTCATTGCAAACACCACATCTTCTCCAGCACTACTTGTCAACTCCTACAAACATGTCATTCTGAGTCAATATCTGCAGATAACTCTTATTAGAAGCAAGTAACAACCACAATTCAGTCATGAGGAGGCTATACTTCAGTTTACAGTAATTCTAGTGAGATGGAATTTATTCCGTTTGGCCCTACAGCAAGAAACTAGAATGGGGTCATCAAAAGAAACCTTTTAAAGATAATTCTCTCCTCAATAAAAACTTTTCCCCGAGTATTTTTTAACTTTAAGACACTTTCAAATTTCATACAAGCTAAGATTTTTGCAAGTTCTACCCATAATGTGACAAGCATTATCATGTAAACAGTGTAATGCAACAAGCATTCAGTAAGCTCTCCCCATAATCATGTAATGCAAGCAAAACTCCAGAATCAGATATCAACTAAACCCAAAGCAATCAAAATATAAAGAAAAAAATAGTGGAAATAGCTTTATTTACCTTCAGATTTTGTGGCTCAAGAGACTTGAGATATTCTAATAGCTCATTTTGTCCATTTGCAGATTTTCTACCAACTTGACGATTCAGTTCCTCAATCTCCACTTCAAGTAACTCAATGTACCTTTTAGCATCTATTTTCTCTGGACCAGAAACATTATTCCACCTAATAACTTCACCAGTCACATTCTTTTGTGTACCAGGTGCATAATCCAGAACATCCTGTAAAGATGAAGCCCTTTAGCACCATTGAAACAAAATATTTGGGCATTAAAAAGTTTGATGCAGATACAGTTACCACTAAACAGGAGTTTAATAAACATGGTGAAAATTAAATATAGAGCAGCGTGCAGGACATCAAAGCACTTCTGTAGTTGACACCAAATGTTTTAACAAGAAATATGAAAGAAAGTCTTACATTGTTGATTACTTTAGACAAAGCTATACCATCTAGTGGCTCTCTGATTAACTTACACACACTAGCATCAAACGGGACAAAATAACTCTCTAGGGTGTAAAAATCACAGAACAGATAGGATTCAATGACATAAAGACAAGAGCTATTAATAATTCCCATGGGTAAGTTATGTTTAAACACCAATGACATGCAGTTACATCATCAAAATGTAATACATCACACTATCTAATTCTGTTCCGTTTCTCATCTCTATGAACGTGAGATTTCTCCCTGTCAGCACAGGCTCCATTATACATCGTTCCAGAGTACAATCGCACTACGAAGCAGCTATGAGAGCCATTACTTATTGGGTATGGAAGAGTGGAAAAGCAATAGCGGCAGCCTCTCCAGATAACAGTTACCGTCTTGGGTTCTTTCAAGAGGCAAAAGGGAAGCAAAGACTTACCTTTTTCTCTTGCACCTCAGGAAGAGCAGCCTGCTCTAAACTTTGTTGCAATTCCAATCGGTATTGTGCATTCCTAAACATATATCCAGTCATCATAACACTGTACATGAGTTGTGCAAGATTCTCAGCTACCTAAAGGAAGATTAAAGAGATCCCAATGATTGTCTAAACCAACAAGAGTATATTTCAATAACAATAAAGAAAAAACCATAACCAAAATCAAACCAAAAAACAGAATATACTTACGGTGGTGACTGTCACCGTAAAAAATTGCGGGGGCAGTGTTCCAATCATATTTGTCACCGTTTGCCGCATTGCCTCAACAACCTGAAAAAAGAAGAAGTGACGTTTCGATTTTCAATTTCATTTCATTTCCAGAACCTACGAAATTAGCATCCAGAACAAATAGGGAAAATAAAAATGAAACCTGTTGCGGCGCCCGTTTCACGAACAACTCCATGAATTCCGGCTGCACATTTTTGACATACTCCAATAGAATATCTCTCCTGGTTTTAGGCTGCTGATTTTTCTTTTTAAAAAATGAGTCTTAAAAGCCGCTTGCGTAAAACATCCAAAAACACAAGAGAGAGAGAGAGAGAGAGAGAGATACCAGAGTGCCATTAGGAGGCTTGGAATCACCGTTGGACTTGGAAAAGTCATCGCTTTTGGAAGAATCGTATGCTTCAATCCTCAAACCCAGCCTTTTCCTGCTTTTAATCTTTCTTGGGAAGAGAACTGAAGGAAGACATTGTTTAGGCTTACAGGATGAGAGGCCTGTCGATGAAGATTGCAATACAAAGGAAGAGGGTTTGACGGCCAAGGTATTCATCTCAGCTCCTTTGCAGGCTTATATTAAGTTTGATTATTTTATCTTTATGGTGCCGACATGAACTAACCAGTGTGAAGCATATAGGAAGTCAAAACGGTGGGCTTTCTGATGCGGGTGTCCTCACTTCCCAGAGATGTTTGTTGGTTGGTTGGGTTCCACCTTAACAGTGTGGACTAGCGCCTAGAGGATAACATATGCAGATTATCAAATGCTATTACGAGGAAAAAAAAAAGGACAGGATTTATCTATTGCTTTCACTAACCCATGTTTGTTCGGCAATAAGGAAAGAAAATCAAAAGAACAAAAAAATGTGAGGGAAAAAAAAACATAAAAGAATTGAAAGGAAGAAAGTTATTTGTTTCTATTGTCTTTGGTATTAATAATGAAAAAATAGAAAGGAAGAGATTTAAGATAAAATTGTAAATTAACAAGAGATTAAAGATACAATTATATATAAATTTGTTAATTTAGATTGAATGATTATTTTTTTTAAAGCATTTAATTTGAAGGAAAAAAAAATGCACATTCACTTTTTTATTTTCTTTTATTTTTTTATAAAACAAAAGAAATTGTGAAAATAAATTTTTTTTCAACACATTTTTTTTCTTTTTCTTTCTCTTTTATCGAAGATAATGTAAAAAAATTAAAAAAAAAATCAAAGATTTATTATTTATTGTCTTATGAAATTGAAAGTAAATAATAATTCATGGTTTAATAGAAGAATTAGTAACAAAGAGTAAGCTTTTCATTACAAGAAAAAAAAGGCAAAAATTTTGTGAAAAATATAAAATTTAAAATTAAACCTTAATTACTACTATTAGTCACTTTGTACTAGCATTTGGTGAAAAAGAAGTGGATGGAGTTCGTGTAATTCAGACAGTTCGGCCGAGAGATCTAAGGCGCCAGATTTAGGATCTGGTCTGGAAGGCGTGGGTTCAATATGATCTTAACCCAAACACCCGAATATAGAAGGCTAGGTTTGTTAATCTCCCCTTTCTTCAACTCGATCTAAGCCCATATATAACGTCATTGGAGCTTACCTAAGCCCAAAAACTAGCCCAAAAGTCCGGAAACTGTTATTTAGGCATTTATTTATTTTTTAGAAAAAGATGTCCTCTGTTATTTAAAAAGTAATAAAAAAGGTAATGAAAATTTTTGTTAATTTATCTAATGATTAATATTTAATAATGTAACTTTATGGTTAGAATTTAATAATTTTAAATTAAATATAAAAATAAATAATAAAAATTTAAACAAATATCAAAATAAAAATATTAATTGATTTTTAAATAAAACAATGAAAACTTTTATTATTTTTTAAATAGTGGAGAGTAACTTTTTTTTTTTTTTTGAGTAAAAGAATTTGAAAGAAGCTTCTTTTGCAATTAACGTGTCTGTCTCTGATTGACTGGCCAGTGGCCACTAAAATTAGGGTTATATTATAAACATCGTAGCCACCTCAATTAAAATGTACCTGCCTTCCACCCCAAAACACCTTTTGTTTTTTGTTTTTTTCTTTTTTTGTGGGCAGTGGCAGGCAGTTGTTAGATAGAATATTTTTTACCTTTGAATATTATAACCCTAACCCATTATTGCAACTGAGGAAAGCCAGGTCACCAGCGCACTCCACTCCCCCATCCGGTATTCTCTTCGTCTTGAAGTGGTTTTTGTTCGTTCTTTTGTTATCATTTTTTTTTTCTTCTCCATTATGCAACCACTCTTGTCCATATTATCGCTCTATCGCATAGCCTCTAATGCGCAATAGTACGATTTAATTCGAGCAATGTTGGAGTTATAGTGTAAACTGACAGAGACAATCAGTTCTCTCTCTCTCTCTCTCTCTCTCTCTCTCTGCACTTTTAGTTTTTGCTTGGGAAGAGAGTGGAAAGCGCCGTCACCCAGCGCCGTTGCGATGGCCTTGCCAGGGCGGCGCCACCTCTATTACCACCGTCTCCGGTCTCTGGTTAAGGTGATATCCGCCATCTCCGGTGCTCTTCTAATCCTCTTCGCTGTCCTTTCGTTTCTCGCTCCTTCTCCTAACGAATCGGAACACTTTCACCTCCGCCAGCACCAGACCTCCGTATTTTCTCTCTCCCTCGCTCTTTCTCCATGATTTTTCAATTCGCGTTGAATTTATTTGTGATTTTGTTTACATATAAATTGATCATTTTCCCCTCGTGTAGTTTAATTCTGTCTCTGAGGATCCGATTACCAATGGAGATTCAGTTTTCCATATTCCAGTTAGGGTTCCTTCTTTACTTATATTATTATTATTATTATTATTATTATTATTATTATTATTATTATTATGCGTTTTAGGGTTTAGGTTTCATTGGATCCTCACATTAATTAATTTGTAATATTTTTCTGAAAATCAGAGTAGCGGAGGAAAATTAGATCGTGATATATGGACTTCAAGAAATGCTAAATTCTTTCACCGATGCAGTAATGCCAGCGCCAAATTTGCGAGTGTGTATAATCATTTTTTCTCTCCAATTTGACTGATTAATTTTATCTTTTTACAAATAAAAAAAAATCACTCTTATGTTGAAACTTTAGGTTCTATGAAAATGGATTTGGGAAACCTCAAATCTAGTGATAGTGATGAAAGAATTGAGACGATTTGGGGTTTTTAAACTGCTTCAGACAATTATTAAATTGCAGATATCCCTAATACAGTCAAAAGGCTTTAATGCGTTGACTGTATTGCAGAATCTGAAGCTGTTACGCATCCCACTAGATACCTGGCTGTTGCAACAAGTGGAGGCTTGAACCAACAAAGAACCGGGGTAAGATTGATAGCTACTTCCCAGTACAATTCTTTTTTCTGTTGCAGTGATGTTTTATAGAAGTTCCCATCCTTGATTTTGTTTTTGATGTCATAATTAGCATGAGATTTATGTTTCTCTTGCTAAAAATATATTGTTTTATTTAGCTTACAATGGTGGAACTAAAGGAGATTGTTTTCTTGATTGGTCTGTGTGGAGTTATGTACTAGTTTATTTGTGATTGCAAGTGAGCCTATAAACATGGATTGAAATTGTATAATGAAGTGGCTGCTTAATGATTGGCCCAATTGGCAACATATATTGTTTAAACAGAAAATTTTTTTGGGCCATAAACAGAGAATAATTTAATGGGCTGAGATTCAATCGAAAACTGTAACAAGCACAGGGCATACTTTCTGCTGATTCTAACTGATGGAAACTTTAATGATGTGCTTCCATTCTTAACGCTATTGGTCTTTTAGAACACTAGTTTTAGCTTTCTATTACTAATTACCATCCATATCTCAAGACCACAATGATTGCATCATTGTTTTATCCCTCTATTTATTCTTTTTTGTGGTCAAGCTTACTAGCCATGTATGTGGCAGATTACAGATGCTGTTGTTGCTGCTCGAATTCTGAATGCTACTCTTGTTGTTCCAAAGCTGGACCAAAAATCATTTTGGAAGGATGCCAGGTTTATAATGGACTGAAAGATATTTTCCATTTGAATTTGTAACTTCTTTTAGCCATCCATATTTAAAAGGAGAAAATTCTGCATGAATTGAGTTTTCAAGATGTTATGTGATAGTATCTACTTTCTCATGTCCAGTAACTTCTCAGAGATCTTTGACATTGATTGGTTCATATCATTTTTGTCAAAAGATGTTAAAATCATAAAGCAGCTGCCTAAAAGGGGAGGAAGGACTTGGACTCCATACACCATGCGTGTTCCAAGGAAGTGTAGTGAAAGATGTTACCAAAATCGTGTATTGCCCGTTCTTTTGAAAAGGCATGTAAGTTCCCTATTCTCAAAATTTTTCAGTCAATTTTATATGTGTAGCCCTTAACTGGTCACTGGCCACTGGCCACTTTTGGATTGCTCTACTTGTGCTTTTCCTGTGTTTGTATTACCTGCCCCGTCTCCTTCTATCTTATTCTTTTCCTCATGGAGGAAAATGATTGTCAGATATGTTGCTGAAATCTAAGCATGCTCACAAATAGAGGTTGTTTTACTGGTTTCCTGGACCTGGATAGCATTTTCATCGATTATTGTTAGAGTCATAATCCATCTTGCACTATGTCATATATACCAAATTAGTTGTTTCCATTTTCCACCAGTCAATATCAAGATCTGAGGAATCAGAGAGTAATTAAAGAGAATGGTAAAGTTTTAAAGATCAGTGATGCATGGAACAGAGGCAGATGCAGGATATTTTTTGGGGTTGTCTACTTATAATATATATAAAAATTTGCCAACAGACTTACCAATCATGTTGACAAATTAACTAATTTTGTGGACGAAAGAGGTGTCCATGAGAAAATTTTGGGTGTCTAGTAGAAAATTTTCCTTCAAATTTTCATATTTTTCAATTTTTGGGGGTGTCTAGTGAAAATTTTCCTTTTAAATTTTCTTATTATCCAAAATTTCACAAACACCCTAGTGTATAAGGTGGATCCACCTATGGCATGGAAAACTTTGCCATCATAACAGCAAACCTTTCCTTCACGGGAACAGCTATGGTGGCATATAAAGCTTGAGCTTTGGGCCAGTCTAAAGAGAGAGGTTGGGAATGGGTATATTCTCTATTCTATAACTAGTCTCATTATTATTGGAAACAAAAAAGTGTATAGAGAACCAGCATACAGAACTTTTAGATTGCTAATAAGTTTATTGGAAAGCTTTCTAAGTTTTGATTCATATTCTTTGTGCCTCAGTGTTTTGTATTGGATGGCTTCTTTACTTTTGTTGAAATTTGTTTCATCTTGAGTCTCAACATTTTATTTGAACCATGGCTTCATTTTATACTATCTAACGGTAAAATGAAGGTGAGATGATACTACTCTTGTCCTTTAAAACTATCTAATATCTGATGGTTTCGCTAATGGCACTTGTCTTGTTATGTGAAGAATGCAGTTCAGCTCAACAAGTTTGATTACAGACTTGCAAACAAATTGGATACAGATTTGCAGAAGTTAAGATGCAGAGTTAACTACCATGCTCTGAAGTTTGCTGACCCTATTCTAGAAATGGGTAAAACACTTGTTCATCGAATGAGGATAAGGAGCAAGCATTATATTGCGTTGCACTTGAGGCATGTATTTTTATCTTTGGTCCTGTATATCTAGCATGCTTATTGTATACCTATGCCTACAGCTGTGTGCACAGGGCACCTAGACTTTATATAATACCTTAAGGTTTCAAAACTGCTTAACCTGCATGCATGATACAGATAAAATAATGTATTTATGTAACTAACTATACACAGCCCTGCAATTCCTTTACACTCAATAGATGGCAGCATGACCATTTAAGGGGAAGATCAAATATCTGATACAAAAATGTCTTTCTCTCTTGCTTGTTTTTAAATATAGACCCTGAACCAAATTCATCTTGATATGTGCATATTCAGCAGTGAATCAATGCATCATTATTTCCAAGCAATAGCTTTCCCTTCAATAACAAAGGACAGATATGAGATTGTTGATGCAGCCGAACATTTTTGTTACAGGTTTGAGCCTGACATGCTTGCATTCTCGGGATGTGATTATGGTGGAGGAGAAAAAGAAAGGAATGAACTAGGTGCTATACGAAAGAGGTGGAAGACTTTACGTGTATGGCTCAAGTGTCATACACTATTAATTTTCTGGACCCTGATTCTTACTTTTTACGGGCGTTGAACTTGGAATTTGGAAAGTAAATTTGTAAATATCCACTGTTATGATCACCCAACATCATTTTTTTCAGTTTATAAATATCAGTCTCCTACAAAGGAAAAGGAAAAAAAAAATGCAGTTCTTTCCATTTCCATGATGTCCAAACATTACAAAAGGTTTAATTACAGTTGAGCAAAGATTTTATAAAGAACAGGAGAGGGTAAAACCCAGATCTAATGCATATGCTGTATGGCATCTGTTTATTGTTTTGCAGAAAAACAATCCGGATAAGCAAAGGAGACAAGGAAGATGCCCACTTACCCCAGAGGAAGTTGGTCTGATGCTTAGAGCTCTAGGATATGGCAGTGACGTTCATATCTATGTGGCATCTGGTGAAGTATACGGAGGGGAGGAATCTTTGAGACCCCTAAAAGCACTCTTCCCAAACTTCTGTTCAAAAGATACCATTGCCACAAAGGAAGAATTGGAGCCATTTTCCTCTTTCTCTTCTCGAATGGCTGCACTTGACTTTATTGTTTGTGATGAGAGTGATGTGTTTGTCACAAACAATAATGGTAACATGGCTAGAATATTAGCTGGAAGAAGGTAAACAAGTTATGCTTTCAATCCTACGATTCTATAACTATAACTGCTGGCTAACTTTTTCCATTGTTTGTTATTGCAGGAAATATTTTGGACATAAACCTACTATTCGTCCAAATGCTAAAAAATTATATCGGTTGTTCTTGAGCAGAAGGAACATGACATGGGATGCATTTGTCTCTAGAGTCCGTTCTTTACAGAGAGGCTTTATGGGGGAGCCAAAGGAGGTCAGGCCTGGCAGGGGTGAGTTTCATGAGAATCCATCCACCTGTATATGTGAAGATTCCGAGGCAAGGGAAAAGGCAAAGGCATATTCTAGAAACAAGAAACATGGAAAATTGGATGATTCATCAAAAAAAGATGATATGGTTAGTGATGATCAGAATGATTATGATGATAATGATGAGCCGGAATGGCCGGATCTGGATGATGATGAGGATCAAAGTGGGCCTCAAGAGAAGCTCCTGTATAACGTAACAGGTTCGGATTATGATGCAGTCATCTCTGATGAACCTGAGTTGGAAGAGATGCTTTCAGACTGAGTAGAATGAGTTGGATGAACCTGACAAATTTGTTCTCGTAATTCCTTGCCTTCACCTTTGGCCCTACAAGGCATTCATGGTTTTGTTGATGATAATGCAAAATGTCATCTGGTCTCTTAACCCCTGAAAATCTCAACAATTTTTTTTTCTTGAGTTTTTGATTTCCAGGAGCATTCAATTTAAAATGAAGGATACATTTGATGGTGGATCGAAGATAGAGCTTTCTTCTAGATGATGTTCTAGAACAAGGTTCCAAAGTATAGGCATGAATTATGGAGGATGTTGGTGGCCGAGGCATTTGTTTTTTCAAAAGGTTTACCAGAATAGACCACAATTAGAACTGATTTTGAGTTGCTAAGAAGAGATTGATCGTGAGCCTCAATCCAATTATCATGGCATGGAAAAAAAAGGTAGAAATACGGCTATGGTTCGAGTGATGTTGTTTTTTCTGATTCTTTTATCTTATTGAGATCATTCATATAGTGTTTCTGGTCAATTAGTTGGGCAAAGCTGTTGTAAATTTCTTACTTCTGTTGTATCCGTTATAAGCCAATTTATAGTGTTTGAGAAAGTTGGCGGCGGCTGTAACCAAGTTCAGAAGTTGCTTTATGTTTGTTTTCTATGCGTGTGGGGAAGGCCCACAAGCGTGAACTGCTGCTTCATCATTGGTTGGGAAACCATTTTTTTTTTACTGAGTTATTAGTCAGATTATGCATTTTATTAGTAAATTTAAGTATGTAACATTATTTTAATATTATAAAAAATATATATATAACGATCAGTTTAGTGGAATTGTAGCAGTTTAGGCCAAGTAACACGTCTGAGTTAGATCTTTAAGGCCCAATTGGTCGGAATTAGAGATTGGGCTCGTCAAATACCATTTAGACTCATCTAATTGAATGGGGCCGATTAAATGGCTGATTAAGTACCCGTACTCTAAATACAAACATATCTGGATGATTAAGTGGTCAAGGGAGATTAGAAGTTTCGGCCTATCTAGGCACGTCTACCAATAAAGCTCCAAAGCATAATGACGATTGAAGCCCATATTTGAGCCTAAATCGGACCTACAGGCTACGTTTCGGCCCAATGATCACCTGTAAGGCCTAACATGGATCCATTAAGCCCAATCATTCCCAAAGGTAGCCCAAAAGTAACCCACTTAGAAGTTTGGGCCCATCCTTTGACCCGTAAGGCTCAGGTTTCGGCCCAAATTTGATCCATTAAGGCCAATTATGCCCAAGGTTAGCCCATAGTTAACCCCATAAAGCAGATATTTTGGGCCCATATATAGTAATAAAAATAAATAATAATCATCATCATATAACACAAGGTAAATATAGTATGTAGATGCAGCGGTCACGGAAGTTGTGGTTTTCAATTTTTCTTTGGATCGGAAGAAGAAGAGTAAGGGAAATTGTTTTCATTTTCTTTTTATTGTTATTTTATTTATTTCCCTCTCTTCCTATATCTGAGACCCAAGTTTACTCTAAGCCCAATTATGCCCAAGGTTAGCCCAAAAAATGACCCACTAGTGCAGATTTTTGGCCCACCTTGACATTAAGGCCCAAGTTTGAGCCCAAAGTTGATCCACTAAGCTCAATTATGCCCAATACTAGCCCAAAATTGCCCAACAAAAGCAGATTTTTGGGAGTACAGATGACCTTAAGGCCCAACTTTCTGCCCAAAGCTGATCCACTTAGCCCAAAATTTGACCCACTAAAGCATATTTTTGGGCCCACTGCAACAAAAGGGCCTAATTTCGGCCCAAAGTTGATCCATTAAGACCAATTATGCCAACATTAACCCCAAATTGAGCCCAAAATTTGACCCACTAAAGCAGATTTTTTGCCCACCGTTAGCTTAAGGCCTAATTTTCTGCCCAAAGTTGATCCACTAAGCCCAATTTGCCCGAGGTTAGCCCAAATTTGAGCCCAAAAATGATCACTGAAGTAGAGTTTTGGGCCCAGCTTTAACTTAAGGTCTTATTTTGGCCCAAAAGTTGATCCACTTTGCCCAATTTGCCCAAGATTAGCCCAAAAATTAACCAACTAAAGATTCTTGGGCCCTCGTTACCTTAAGGCCCAATTCTCTTCCCAAAGTTGATCCACTAAGCCCAATTATGCCCATTGTAGCCCAAAAGTTCACCCACTAAAACAGATTTTTTGGCCTCTGTTACCTAAGGCCCAAGTTTTGGTCGAAAGTTGATTGGACCAACATTTTTGGGTCCCTATTGCTGTAGGCCCGGGATTTGACACAGTTGATCTACTTAGGCCTATTATGCCCAACATCAGCCCAAAAATTGGACCAACAGTTGACCCTTAAGGCCCAAAGTTGGCCTAATTGATACCCAGAGATCCACTATACACCCAGAATCTAGCCCAACGACGACGAAATGGGCCCATTATTGACCTACTAATTTCAAAGTTCGGACAAACTTTTAATAAATAAAATTTTTATTAAATATTATAAATTATATATTTAAATTAATTTAAACTAATATATTTTTAATATTTTAAAAATATATTAATACATTTGTTATAAAATTACATAAACATATAAACTGAAAAAAAATAAGAATCTAAATATAAATATAAATATACAAATATGATGAAAAATATATCCACCTCATACCCTACCCATACCTACCTCAACCAACAAACAAACGTGGAATGTGCTGACCATTGAAAGAATGAATAAATCGAACAGCAATAATCCAAAACCTTCTGATACACAAGTCTAAACCAATATGATTGGAGATTAATTGATTAAACCAACTAAAACAAAATAAATATGGGGCGGTTGAAAAAAAACAGCCTCCTCATTCTGATGTTGGAGGCTTGTCAGGTTGGTCATCATTTTGAGGTGGTGATGATCCAAAATCAAGGTTTGGGTAGACACCAGGAGGCCTCTCCCGAGGTTGGATGGTAAGCAACTGGCTTGAGTCGCCTACCACATCTGCCCATCCATAATGAGGTTCAGCCCTTCAACATAAGTGAAAACCTTGTCATATTTCTGTTGCAAACTACTTCCATCTGTATAAAACTGTTTTTCTTCTCACATTTACCCAAAAAAGAGCATGTTTAAAACTGTTTTAACTAAGCTAAAAGCGCAAGGTCTTACTCATAATACGTCCCCTCATCAACAACTATATCCCAGCTTTCACCAGTTGTGCTCTTCCCATATTTGTGAACTTTACTATTTAGAAGATTAGGAGGCAAAGGGAATCAGTATCTCCCGTGTAGAATGCATCATAGAGAAAGTCATGATAAACAAAAAATAAAAACACAATCCAATATTTATCAGAATGCATTCAGCATAAGCAAATGAGCAGTAAAAACATGGAAATTCTAGCTAACATGAGAAGAGTTTGTTGAAGGGTTTCAGAAACTGTTCCATACCCGTTTCCAAAATGCTCCTCACCCCATGTTCTTGACCAACCTATGAGACCAAGAATACCTTAGTTACAAAAAATTAAAATAAATTGAATGAGCAACAATAAATGCAAATATGAAATATCTCGATGATTGAACTCTACAGTGGAATTTTAGGCAAAACATCCCTTAGGTCACTTCTATACCTAGAGTCACAAAAAAAAAAGTTAATATAGCTGTCAGTCCATTCTTGTGAATGATGATGGTGACCAATGAATAAGGTTTCAACAAAATGAAAAACATGAACTATGATTACTGCCAAAAAGGAAATTAATCTGACAAAATGAAAATTATGTACAACCTAAATTTGAAAACAATAAACTGTGGAAAATTATGCATCATTGCAAATAGAATGATATGACCATACATACGTTCGCCACTCGGAGATACATGCCATGTCTCCCCTTGACGTGCACCAATACCAGCAAAGAACTTCTCTTCCCACTTATCTCCCCATTTAGTTCCCAATTCAGTCTCAGCCCATTTATCTGTCCTGCATATTATCAAAATAGAAACTTTAACATAACCATAGGAAAGCATGTGAGGTGGGAAGGCCTGACCAAATAGGAAAATATAAAAGAAGAAAACTTTATAATCTCAATATCAGTTGAAGCATTCTTATGAAGAAGATCAAAAGAAATGCTGTTGAAATTTCAAATAATCTAACTTATCTCAATCTTTCCAGATAAAACAAGGTATAATAACCAACTGAAGATAGTAAATTGTTGCAAAAAAAGATCACGAATTCAAACTACTAACAGTATAAAATCTAGTAGTCCACTAGTAAAATGAGCGTTTCTGCATAAAGGATAATTGAAAAGTACCATTTTAGAATAGATCCACTTCCATCATAATGCTCTCCCCACTTCTCCCACCATGACTGTTCATTCAGTCTACCATACTTATGAGCCCCTTTTTCTGTCCAGCCTTTAGCATCATACTTCTCCCACCTACCAAAATAAGTTTATCATCAATATAAACTATATATTTTGCCATTGCTCCGCTGCATATATAATATGAATGAAAATCATCCATTGAAATATAACTCACCATTTCTCATACCAACCAGCATTTTCACTGCCCGATTTAGCTTGCTTCTGAGCACTTCTCTCTATCCTTGCTAAATTACTGCAGTTTTAAAGATGTAATGATTGCATTGATGAAAAATTGCATGCATGGTAAACAGGAAATATCCTGTTTATCTTTGTATGGTAATTTGTGGATTTAAAGTTAAGTGTTTCCTGTTAAGGTGATAATGTGGAAATAAAGACCTCCATTCATCTTGATGAAGCACTTCTTGCCATGTTTCCCACCATGAATCTCCTTCAGCATTTCTTCCAGATTTCTCGACACCTATGAGAAGCCAACTTTACTAAAAGTTAGGCAAATCTATGCTTGGATGATTTTAGAATCATTTAAGCAAGAATAAACCATTAGAAATTATCACAATTAGTTTATAGAATAAAGCAATGGAAAGGTAAGTAAAAGCACCTAGCTCTTTGTATCCACTCCAGTCACTTTTCTCCCACCACTGTCAAGGAGATCAATAAATCCAATTAAATGCATCCACCTGGGATGATACTTAATGGAGTTATAAAAACAATGTTATGTAACAGGATTTAGAAAAATGATTACAGTTTTCTTGTAGTTTTGGGATGCCATTCTCGAAATCTTGAAGCACATCATCTTTTCTTCCACAATTTAACTAAAAGATTTGAAGTCAGTAACCTCTTTTGGGTGCTTAGATCTCTTAAACTACACTCCCCTAAATCCTTTCCAACTTACATAGCCTCACCAGAAAGATGATTCACTATCCCAACAACTCAGCACCCCACTCCCAGAATAAACAATAAACAAAGAGAGTGGGCAATCCAAAAGTTGACTGATCAATCTATCTTTGTTGCAAAGCACTAAAGAATATGTCTAAACAGAATTTGAGTTATTTCTTTTACATTATAATAATAACAAATATATAATATAAAAAATGCCACTGAATATATTGACCATTTTGAAAACAAAAAAATATGTTAGGCTAGGATAACAATTTGCAAAGTAGGCTAGCCAAGTAGCAAATTTCACATTCAACATGATGACCTCTAAGAAATAGTTTCCAAAATCTGGCCAAGACAGAAAGAAGTTTATCCCAAGAATGAGTCCTCTTCAAATGCTTGAGTTAATATGGGCATCGCTCATGATTTTGCCATATTATCTACAACAACCATGCTGGCAAACACAGTACCTAATTGCTTTAATCTACAGTCACAAGCTCACTTTCATCGATGTTTGGAAGAACATAGGAATTATTTCACAATTGCCATTTAAGAGCAACATACTCATACATCTAAATTTCATATAACAAAAATGATTTTATACCGTTTCCTTCCATTCTGAGGAACCATCATGGGATTTACCACCCATCCTTGTCCATCTACACCGGTATCCATTTTCACCAAGGTCCTCTCCACTTTCTCGATACCAGGTACTGCCATCTTCATTTGTGCCAGACTCATTAACATTCTCATTTAACAAGCTAATGCCCCAGTCCTCCTCATTTGCAATACCAGTGTCTACAATGAAGAAAGAAGCAAACGACCATATCCTTTATTAGGATGGAAACTATATAACATTAAAAACCCTAAAGAACATACAAACACAGCAAGAATTTCATAATAAAATTCCATAGTTTAATGAGCATTGCGACTTACCTCTTTTTGGTGGAGTATCACGAGACTGAGGACCAGAATTTCGGGGAGTACACCGAGGGTAGAACTTTTCTTGTTTGGAAGGAAATCTAGATCTGTAACAATCATAAGTTCATAACATGAAATAAACATTACATTACAAGTTTTGGTAATGAACACAACATCTTAAGTTCTTGCATCAAAATTCAACCAACAAGATTTGGGATTTGAAAGTTCACAATGAAAAGGAACAAACAAATTGATCCTGAAATCATAAAAATTCAACATCCTATTCTCAAAATGAAATATCTAAATTAGCAAGTTATTTATCTTGTTGTTTGGTTCAGAAAAAAAAAGGTGTAAATAATAAATTAAGAATTCCATTATTCAATTTAAGGAGCAATATGAGTATAAACATACGCGAATATGGCGAAATATACGATAAGCACACACACTCCTCGATAAATTGATAAAAAAAAAAAATGCAGAAGGCTAAAAGTGTGACGTACTGAGCAGAAACAAAAGGCATTGCAGGGGAGGCCTGGACTCGAACCCTGTGAGGGATTTTCTTGGAGTCGAACCGCCAGTCCTCCACCTTCTCATTGCTCTTGACCGAACGGGTGGTTATCCGGATCGGGACCACCGGATCAGAGCAGCAGCAACTGATTCGACTCGAAACTGTGAATCGATCACATCGAGAGCACAATTTCTGTTTTACACTCGGTGCCAATCCATGGAAAACATAGTGCTTGAACTCAAGCTGGGTCGCGAATCCTCCGGAACTCGCCGCCATTGATTAAGAAAATGCCATGGACGAGCCCAAAGAAAAACCCTAGAAAATTAAAAAATAATAATAATGAGGAAATTTTAGAAAAGGAGATGAGGAGCGTTATTTTTTATGAGGAGTTTGGAGGAAATGGGAGAAATTAAGAAAGAGTTGGGAAGGGGTATTTTAGGAAATAAAATCAGAGGAAGAGGCGGCCAAAGGGAGTGGATGAGAGAATCTCGGGAGAATCTTTGCGTTGGGGGGACATTTGACGGGGAGAGGACTTTAAACAAGACGGAGAGAATTTGATTAAAAGACGTGGAAGGTGCGCAGGCAAAAGTGTTGAGAGACAGAGAGAGAGGGTGAGATCAGATCGGTGGCTCTTCACCCTTCAGAGCTCTGCAATGCGAATCACGGGATTTAAACGTACACGTAACAAGCTGTCGGTCTCACTTTACGGGTTTTTTTTATCTGGTAGGGGCATTAAATGATAAAAAAGATAATATTTTTTTTCTTTTTTTAGCCCTTCATCAGTTAATCAAAGACATTTTTATTATTTATGTTGATCTAACATATTAGATTAATTTAATATGTTCAGTGTTACATTAATTTGGTATTATTTTTATTGTAAGTAAAGTACTAATAAAGCCAAAGACTAACTATAATGATATAGAAATATCAACTTATACCATTATCACCTCAGTCAAGAAACTCAAGTTATGCTTTCAAGCTTATATGATTCAAATAGTAATCGATCAGCTACTGAGAAAGGTTTTATAAAAGCTTGAAATGTTGATAAGATTAATTAAATGGGTGGTTAAGCTTAATGAATTCGACTTACATATATTATCTAGTTGGTCTTAAAATCACAGGTACTGACAAACTTTATCGTAGAACTCACTTCGGTATATCTAAAAAAACTCAGGCCATGCTTCCAAGCTCATATTATTCATATAGTAACCGATCAACTACTGAGATAGGCTTTATAGAGGCTTGAAATGTTGGTAAGATTAATTAAATATGTGGTAGAGCTCAATGAATTCGACTTACACATATTATCTAATTAGTCTTAAAATCACAGGTACTAGCAAACTTTGTCGTAGAACTCACTTCGATATACTTGAGAAAACAATCTGAGAAAAAAAAAACCTTAGATAAAGATGATTGGAAGCTTTATGTTGACAGATCGATCACAAACCATAGTGGAGGAGTATACCTCATTCTGATTAGCTTTGAAGGGCTACAGTACCCATATGCCTTGATATTCAAGTTCAAGGCATCCAATAATAAGGTCGAATATGAGACGTTGATAATGGGTTTAAAGTTGACAATTAAGCTGAACGTTTAATGCATAACCACATATAACGACTCCCAACTGCTGGTCGATTAAATAAATTGAGAGTTCAGAGCTCAGAAAGATAAAATTAGAAAGTATCTTAATAAAATGTTGGCTTTGGTGGTTGGTTTTAAGAAAGCTATGGTAAAAAGATACTGAGGTCAGAGAATTCACTAGCAAACTCCTTGTTTAAGTTGGTTTCAACAATAACAATGAAACAGAGACTGTGAGATTGATTGAGATTGGCATATTGAGTTTAAGAGTTAACTTGGCCTTGAAAAAAAAAAATGAAGAAGTGCTTAAAACTGACCTCGACCTCGTCAAAGAATAGAAAGACATAGCCTTAACATGGATAGTAGTTTATTAGCAAAAAATGGCCAACTATTATAATAAAAGGGTTCAACATAAGCATATCAAGAAGAACGACTTGGTACTTAAAAAAGTTAAAGCTTCAAGAGTAGATGACTGTGGTGATAAATTAGCCCCGACATAAAAAAGACCAAATGTTGTTAAAGAGATCATCCATGACGATACCTACAAACTATAAAACCTGAATGGCAATGTCTTTCCAATAACATGAAATGCAAATAACGTAAAGGTTTATTACCAGTAACTTAGTCTAAATCGAGCTCACAGTTATATTTTATTTTGTACTTAAACACATGAGTTAAATCATTCAACGAGCTTATATCTAAACGATCTAAAAAAATTCAACCTAGAACTAAGAAAAATTTTTAGGTTAATTTGATCCAAATGATCACATAAATCCTTAATTCAGTTAACTGTGCTCAAACTTATGCAAATAAATAAAAATTTATTATAGAACCGAGCTGAAACTTAAACACAACAAAAAATTTCTTCTATTTCATTTTTATTAATTATACAAGTTATTGGTCAGGCTAATCATCCCTATCCGAGGTCATTACAAAAATCAACCTCATACATTAACCAAAATTTACAAAAAATCAAAAACCAAAAGTTAAAAAAATTATTTTTCAACAACTTCAGCAACAGCGATAGAGATAGCACCTTTTTCAATAGGAGTAGTAACTGGGGCAACAACAATGATCTCACATTTTTTTATCACTAGCACTTCATCCTCAAGCCTCAAAGCTACCTCCAACTTAGCTTTCAAAGCCTCATCTTCATCTTTATCCTCATCTTTCTTTTTTTTCATCCTTATTAGGCTAATTTGGATGAATCATCGATCTAATATTGTTAATGTCAATATCAGAGAGGTCAAGGTTTAGGGCGAAAAATTTAAAACTACACCTCATTATTGGCCAGTTATAAGACACCAAGCACGTTCTTCTTAGAGAATGCCACATTTATCTAGAAGCACTCATTAGAAGCTTTGAATTTCTTTATAGGTTTTTTTTTCAAGTATTCTTTCCCTTTCTCCCTGGCCTTAAGCTCGAACCTAACCTTGGCTGTCTCAGCCTAAGCATCATTAAGCTTAAGCTCGACTTGTTCCCTCATCAAGTCAACTGAGACTTTGTCAATTAAAATGGCCTTCAACTTTGTTGTCAACTCGTCAATTCTTTTCTTATGCTAAACTTTTTTTTATGGGATAAGCTAAAACTAGATCGAACATTGCTTAAAGATTCTGAGCTCTTTTTGGTTCTTCAGCTAAGGCAGCCATGTCTTTATCAACCTTTAGCAAGTGGGCCATTGTGATGTAGGCGTGGTAAAGGGCATCACCAGCATTTTTCAAGGGTTAAGAGAAAATGTTTTATTGAACTGCACAAAACAACCTTAAACTTAGCAAAATAAAAAGCACTAATAAAACTAAACTAAAATCACAGCTAGTACTTACTAGAAGGTGGATTACGACTTTACTGAATCTCTTTACCACGATTAGGTTCAAGATGAGATCGTCGATAGGAGTGTATTCAAAGATGGTGGAGATTTTCTTCGAGCTGGGCCTTAACACCCTAGCCTTGAGGTTCTCCAATGTGGATGAAAAGGCCTCCACACATGGTCTTTTTGTAGGAGAAAGTGGTGCTGGTGTCGAGGTTGAAGACAGGTCTTGGCTTACCCTGACTTTGGTATTTCAATTTATGGGAAAGTGGCATAATGAGGTGTTGATTACCTTGTCTCCCTTCTGAAATAGGGCCCCAAGCTAATTTTTTTTTATCTTTCTTAGGCTTGAGAACATGTTAGTATAGTTTGAAATCAAAATCCTCCTTGCTGGCCATCTTTGCAAAATCGAACTAATAGTTAGATAAAATCAAGTTAAAATAAAATCCTATGATGTTACCTTAAACTTACCACAATGCTTCGTCCTATTTATTACTTTTGGAAAGGTAAACCTGTAGGCATCAATAACAACCTCATCCCACGGGTATATTTCAAAATTTTATCTAAATCTTATAGATCCAAGATAAAAAAAGCCACAGATGCATCTATAAAAGAGCCAAATATACTCTCTATTTCTCAAGCCTTAACCTTGAGAGTAACTCCAACTTTGGGCTCACCATCTTTATTTATTCTTTACTTTTTTAGGCAAAAAAAAAGTAACTTTCGATTTTTTATTAAGCTCAAACAATGGATAATAAACTCCTTATTAAGCTGAGCTATTATGCAATACCACATGCTATTGCTGCAATGTTTTTTTAGAGAAAAAAATTTCCTAAATAAAGGGAGAAAAAAAAGAATGTTTAAATGTTGATAAAGAATGATGAAGGCTATTATGTACCATATAAAGTTAACAGTGAGCTAAGTGATAATCAAATTATAATAATTAAAATTTAAAACAAACAAATGATGAAATGGGAACCTCAAACTGGTCATGAAAGAATCTTAATACACGTAAGCCGATATGGCTCCAGTATATCAATGACTTGATCTAAAGAGTTTGACATTATTATACTATACCTTTCCCTGGAAAAAAAAAGTTAGACCCAAAGTACGGGCATGATGAGTTGAACACATATTAGATAGTCTTTAGGATTTGTTTTGCCCTTTGGTTCGCTTATCACGTCTTTAGAGATCATGTCGAGATTACAAAAAATATACATAAGGACCTCGAAGAGTTCATCCTACACCACAAAACTTTTTCCCCCGTCATCACTTTCCTAGATTGGGGTACTCCCTTCCTTTTATTCCTCCTTGAAACCCTCATCATCAAAATCTCCATCACCAGAATACTCTGACTTTTTAGTATGAATAGAATCCCCAATAAGAGCAGTAAATGAGAGTAGCTTAATCCTAGAGAAAGAATAACGAGGTGGAAACCCTTTAGGAAATGAAGAGATATTAATTAAAACTGGTGAATAAGAAATGAAAGTGATAACAAGGTCATTGATAGGAGGAAGAGTAGAAGAAAAAGAGGGTTGATGAGATTGAACCCCAGAATGAGACACAATCGATGATGAAAAAGGGTCAACCAGAGAAGATGGATCAACTAAGAGAAAAAAAAAAGGTGGATTTTACAATTCAAAGTTAATTTGAGCACACATTTTTTTTGTGCTTAGAACTCGTTCTCCTCTTACCTTAGCATTCACTTCATTTCATCACTGCCTTTCTTTGGACATCAGATTGAACCAATAGGCCATCTTTTCATAATTGCGACTCCCGATAGTTTGTGGGATCATATCATTATCTTGTTGTCCGTGTTGACCTCTCCTAGGTTCTACTCGATAACTCCTAGCCTCTTCAAAACTCATACTTGAATCCATTATTAAGAATATGTACTGAAGAAAGCGTGGAGAAACTTTAAAGATTGAAAAGCTTTTGAGATCGAAAAACTCAAGTCGAATCAAAAGTAAAAAAAGCAAAAAGGTGAAAAATTAAAGCCTTAGCAACTTTTATATAGATGCGTTACAAACCAGATAAATAGCACAAATCATGCCACCTGTTAGAGCAAAGGCAAAAAGATATATTGTCATCTCCCCGCTTTAAATTCTCCCACTCAAACTATCGCTCTTTGTATTTAATGTTGTCAGATCAGCCTAACTAGACGAACCTTAAGTTAGATCAGATGAATCGAGTGGCACTTCGAGGTAAATCGAAAACTCGATTCACCATCAAAGTTCAAAGTGGAAGCTCAAAGCCAAGATTTTGAAATAAAATACAAGTTTCGTTACAGCCAGACGAACTCCAACTCTAACCTCAAATCATTCCAAACAATTATTACCTCAGCAACCTTTAAGTCGACTATGCACTCAACCCAAGAAACATGCATAAGATCAAGCAACCACAAGGTCGAACAATGGCTCAAAGCTAGTTATCCTCTAAAACCATCTCCCCTTATAACATCGGTCATACATTCGACAATCTAATACTTAGACAACCTAGTAAGGGAACAAAGTGTTGGAGATATTTTATGATAAAAAAAATATAATAATATTGTTCTCTTTTTTAGGCCTTTAACAAGCAATTAAAAGCACTTTTATTATTTATGCCAACTTAACATATCAATTTAACATGTTCAATGTTATATCAATTTGATAATTTTTATTATCTTTTAATGGTCTTCCATAATTTATCTATAAATATAAAAATCTAAAAATTATTAAAACATAAATCTTACACATTTCTCTTATTCTTACTTTTTTTGTGACTATAATTTTTTTAATTTGCATATTAAAATACAAACATAAAAAAATATACCGTATCTTTACCTCGCCCTCTTTTTTCCTTTATTATGCTCTTCTAGGAACGTCCCCACCTCGCAGCTTGACATCAACAAGATCCTTCATGCCTATCTGGATTGCCACTGTTTTAACATCAGCCATCACTTTCTTCATTTATTGATTTTGTGATCCTTTAAAGGGACAAAACTGCTTTCTAAAAAAATTAAAAAAAAAACAAAACCGAAATGAGTGTACCATATTATTATTGTCCAATAAAATTAATCACTTCATCAGGTTCCATATAATATCTAATTATTTATATAATTTACATATCTAAACTCTTGAAATGACATTAATTGTATTAAAAAAAAATTAAATACGTAATTTTTTTATAAATTAAATAATAAAAATTAAAGGGTGAACGACAGGTTAAGAATTAAAAAAAATAAGTGACAACCTGTCATTTCGAGGTGAGGAGCGAGAAAAAATTTGTCCACCAAAAATTATATAAACCTAAGAACCGCCAACATCTTTCATCTTTATGTCCATTTAATAGCAGTAAGGATAACTATAAAATTTTCACAAACTTTGACGTAGGCGCAATTAATCAATCATAGTTTTCCTTTTTTGGCCAGTGCTAACATACTCATTGTGCATGATTAATTCTGTTGTTTATCAAATTTGTACAAACTATTCAGCCCTTTTTTTTATTGCAACTAAATTTGCTTAATTTTCCTCTGTGGACATGTGAAAAATGAATTGACACGATTGCATGGAGGGCGTGGGGATAGCCACTGTAGCATGATGATCAAGTTAAAAGCCTCCTCAGAAAGAATTTCATCCAAACACAATTTCTGGATTTTTTGCAAATGAATCTCTGCCACAGATAATGGGGCAGCTGGCAGGCACAGAAACGAGAGGGGCTCAGATTTGAAAAGCAAGTGAAATGACTTGTTGATTGAAAAATTGAAATGTAAAACGCTCCCAAGTCTAAACTCCAGTCTCCACCTCATCCAAGGAAGCAATGAGAAATTTGAAATGGTGGCCACGGCGCGAACCTTTTCCTCCCACTTGCTGTCACCACGTGTTAGCACCACACCCTTTGATGACATGGCATGGCACATGTTGACCCGAGATTAAATTGCGGATAACCTGAAAACGCTGTAGCTTGCTTGTCATGCTATACGTGGCAGGACTTTCACGGTGAGGAAATTAGCCACGTGTCAAGAAGAACAAAAACAAGGAGTCGAAGACTTGGATGCCTGCCCATGGACGAGAAAACCAAATCAATTACCATCTTACACTCGTGTTCCTGTGCTTTTGGATATGCTTCATGTCGCTTTAAGAATTCTAGATGCTGTGCACTATAACCAAATCTTATTTATTGATTGTGGCCTTGTACTTTTGTCGAGCGATTGCTGCCAAATGACTCCTTTATCCAATGTTTTCTCCCTCGCACTCCAGGCTTTGCGTAGAACACAAAGCTTGCATTTTACTAGTGGTCGTGTTGTTATCCGAGGCTTGCTTTTTCATGTTTGCATCAGCTTCTCCTTCACAATTCAGTAAATCACAACCACAAGTTCAATATTATTTTCAGACTCGAAAAGGGGTTCGATGATACCCAATCGTGAACTTAAGATCACGGTCTTTCTGTTTTCTCATTATGGCTAGCTTTTCTCCAACATATAAAGAAATCATGCAATTTTTTATCCAGTTAATGCTTTTACCATACCCTGATAAAACACAAATAGAATCTGTGCAACTACATTCATTTGCAAGCAGAATCTTTTATTACTTGTGCAGAGAACTAGTTTATGAACAGTGTGGCTGGTTTGGTGCTGGTTCAGGGTACAATTTCGAAACTTTTCTACAGATATTTTAAAGACATTGTTGAAATAAACACGAGAAGAGAACAACAAAGACGTGGTTCAGTTTTCATTGAACAGATGGTTAGTAACTATACTCCTAGTATGAATCCGAATCAAGAATACAGTGGCCGCAAAAGTCATGAAACACAATTTTCAAGTCAACTGCCCCCATTCATGTACGCGCTACCCCTCTTCATGTTAAGCTGTATCACCGTACTCAAGCTGTAAGTTGCCTATATATTTTGGGCATAATTCATCACCTTGAGCACTGCCGTTGATAATTGGAAACTTTCCTGAAGAATAAGGACAACAAATAACCTTCATTTTCTTGAGAGGAAAGGCCTAATTGATTCTATGACCACCTGCATCAAAGAAAGCATAAATCAAATTGATTTTACAACCACCTGTATGGCTACCTAATGGATAGTTCCTTTTGTGTTTCTAGTTCTGAGACTTGTAGAGTTCTTACCCTGCCATCATAGGATAGAGAAGCAAATATCCACGGCTCACGCGAACTTTAGGCAAGGCCTGGGAAGATGGTTAAAACCTTGTTAGATAATATTAACAGCACAGTGAAAAACAGAGGCAGTGCTGATTACCATATACGCTGTCTTCATAATCACCGTACGAATTATGTAATGGGTCAGCCTGTTGAGTGGGTGATTCAGCTATGCTGTTATAACAAACGTTAAGGGAAAAGTATCAGAGTAGATCAGAGAATAGAAAAGGATGCTGTGGCAAAATTTCAAATGAGGGACAATAAAACAACCTTTCAGAGGTTGATTCATCTCCAGCAGATGCAGGAGCCAGCCACAAGTTAACAGTTGAGTCTGTGCCAGCGCTCTGCAGAAGGGACTCTTATCAAAGAAAATTTCAAAATATAGCAGAAAGAACTATTTGCAGTTTTTTTATAGTGAAACCATCATGCAGAGAGATGACGACATTTAAATGGAAGGTTATTGTTAATTTGTTATGCCTAGTTGATTCAGATGAATATTCGTAACCAGTTTAATCCAACCAAAACCCTGATACCTATACCTAAAAAGGAACCTAGTTAAGATGAATTGCTCAGATCCAATTAGCTTCAGAGAGAGAGAGAGAGAACCAGAATTAGCCCATTACACTCTGGGTTACACGTGACAACCCATATCCTGCCAACATTATTAAACGGGTCACAATCAGTGAACTAGAAGTCCTATTTCTTTTTGGAGGGACGTAAACTCACATGTGGGAAATTAACTATAAATCAATAAAGTGGAAAAATAAAAAGAGTTTAGCATTTTTTTTTTTTTTTTGATAAGAGAGTAGAGTTCATCAAAAATAAAAATGACTTCGGGCAAAAAGAACCACAAAAGTAGACAACTCAATTACCAGGTATGTCCAGGAAGCTCTTTGACAGGAAATTTGTGCTTTCTCAGATCCCATATGTGTATTCCGGATTCATCTTCTGCAGTGACCTGTGATAAAAGTGACAATAATAACTCAGTAATATATAGCAGAAATACCATCTCACTTAAATTGGTTCATTCACCAATCACAATCACCATTTCTATACTATTGGTCATTCTTTTACTGATTTCAGCAACTATTAGTTATAAGTGAATCTCTCTTATGATTGAAACGAAAAGAATTAAATGCCCACACACCTGTGAAAAATACTATTACCTGTCAAGAGTGATCCAAAAATTGATAAATTATCCAGGCATAACATGTGTAAGATCTTGGTTTCACATGGTTATAGAAATAAGAAAGTTTCTTTTGATAGAAAAAGCAACTTAACATGCCAATTCATCCCTAAATAAAGCCATTTTCAAAAATTAATGTTGCAACAAAATCACAAAAAAGTTAGTAGAAAAGCAAATAATGCAATGACCAGTAAAATTTTAAGGTTACGTTAAACTAGTAAATATACAAGCTATATCCTTACAAGCATATTCTTTTTCTTCACATCATAGTTAGCATTGTGGATATGGGCACGCTCAATTGCATTTGCCTTCCAGTGATTATATAAAATTGTTGTCAGCCACAGCATAAGTCTAAGAGAACTTAATAAATTATATCAAGGTTAAACATTTAAGCATAAGAACATTTTAAGCATAAGTATAATAATACGCATAAAAAAATCAACAGTTAAAGGTGCAAGTTACAACATTCCTCCTCCCTTCCCCTCCATTTTTTGGTTAGTGGATGCTAGGTGATGGAATTGCAACTCTTAGAATTGGGCCCATGCCTTTCAGTACGAGGAGTACAAATCACAAGGGAAATGGAACACCATATCACGTGACCACCCGCTATGGTGATTAGACAGTCATCAACTAAAAAAGAAACTAAGATACACGGAAACAACAAAGTTCATGGTATGTAGATCCCAAAAATGGACTGATGATTCACAAGTTGCCATAACAGCATTTATGTCATGTGGATCCCAGATAAGTAATGAAGCATACCAGCTGACACCTTAGATTGCGCCCAGGTTTCCATAACAAAATCTGAACAAGCATGAGAAAGAGAATTAAAAATTATAATACATTATAGATATTCAGAAATTGTTGGTTTATAGTAACTGCCATTGATATGTAGTGAATGTCTCTGCACAACTACCATGAAAAACATGAAGTAGAAGTTAAATGCAAAGTTGCCAATGGCCAAAAAAATTAATGTCAGACACTAGGAAGCTATATTGAATATATTGAGAGTGAAAAAAAAAAAAAAAGGGACAAATTGAGTAACTAATTCTACCAATTGCAAATTTTTGTAAGTTGTGTCTTTGAATAAGGCATTCTAGAAATGATGTATTACCTTCATAAATGAAAAACCTACAGGCTGACCATTCACAAACTACTACATTAATCATCAATGATAAGAAGAAGAGAATGCATGCAGAGAATAACCTGCGCAACCTTTTTTGAACATTCTAAACTCCATAAGAAAATATTTTCTTCATCAGTGATTATCAACTTATCAACATATAAGCCAAAATAAATTTTACAAAAATTCCTTGCATGAAATGCAAAGAACACATGGTTTTAATAACTTAAGAGAAGTTTTAAATCAGGAACTCATCAATTAATCTTACCAACATGCGCATCAAGGGAGGTAATTCGTCCAAATGGGGTGAATTTAACTTCCCATGTAACTCTGGGATCTGCCAATTGCAGCCCCATAGGATTCGCCTTCAGTAACAAAGAAAACTATTAAACCATTCTCCATCTTTAAGCTACCAAACTTTATACAGGACAATGCTATTGCTACAGACCAATTATTGCGATACTAAAACTAATACAGATAGAAAAGAACTATCAAGGTTCCTCAAATGGCCTAGCTTGAAATTAGAAGCCCTTACAACCAAAACACTAGTACAGAATAATTACGCCGATTATTTCCAATAAGGATCTATTTTCCTCTTCTCTTTTTGAGCACTAAAGTCACCAAAACCAATGAACTAGGTGGGGAGGCAGACAAAGAAGGTTGACTAAGCTATTCAGATTTACCGATATCAAGTCTACTAGCACCCTATTGAACAAAAAAGACAGCCCAAAAAACCAGAATATGCAAGAAACACACGTAAATCAAGATCAAAATGTTACCAGTAGAGAAAACGATTGAGAAAATCCGTTGATCGAAGGGACATGAAGCTAGGTCCCAGATCTCGTTACGATGCAAAAACAAGCCCTCGCAAATGAGCTCTGTTCCGCCTGAAGATAGCCGAATCAGCTGAACCTGGCAGATTTCAGTTCTATTAGATAATATGACAAAACTTAAACACTGTGATCATGAATTAAACCAAATTAATTTAGGAACAAAATATCATTTTCTTCCCTGAGATTGAGGGTTCCGGTATGAACCTGGTGTGATCCGTGTCCGCTTTGACATCGGATATGCATCTTGCCTGCTTGCGAGTATAAAAAGGTAAGGTTTATAACTTTAACTCTAAGACGAGTAAAATTAGTGGGACTGAGATTTTGAGGGTCGACCTGATATTTGAGACCGCAGCCGATGCCAGAAGATCCTCCTTGCAAGGAACCAGGATTCCATGAGTTAAAGGTACTTAAAACGCCTCAATTTTCCGGACGATCTTGCTAAAATGCTTGTCGCTTTACATGGGGCTTGGATGCGCTTCCCGGTTGCAATGGGCTGGTTATTGGACAGTCCACTTTAGCCCAATAGGCTTGACACAGTGCTAACGGACAGTCCATGTTAGTCAGGCCATTTTAGGCACTGGATTGGAGTTGGATTTTACTCGTTTTTGTTCGTGATAGTTTGTCATGCATTTTCTTGTGATAATTAAATACATGATTATGGTTGTTAGGGGATTAGACAAGCTACTTTCTTTTGCTTTTCAATTTTGTAAACGGGCGCTGATAAAAAAATGTCTCTATTATTATAATGACCATCATGAAGGGCACTAGTTTTCCCTTTAATGATGAACTCGCCAAATGAGAATTGGGCCAATTTGCATAAAACCTGTGGAAAAATTACCATACATTGTTAATCAGTAAAATGTAAAAAAAAGCATGAAAGGGAAGCCAGATGGTGAGGTGAAATATTAAGTGTAAAAAATATATAGTTGCTTTAATTTCTCTCCTATGACTTGTATTTTTTTTTATATCATGGATCGATGAAAGAAGCATACATGAGATGGTAGTGAGTTGAATTTGTCACATAACAAAGAATGATTAGGGCATTGAAATTGTGATATTGAAACGTACTTTCATGCTCAAATCAAAAGTATTTTCATGGTGGAAATAATGAAATAATCTTGGAGAGAAAATATGACTTAGGATTTTAAACCCTTACATAGTACCTTTTATACCTTGAGCCATTGGCCGGTGATGGTGGCTATGTGCTATCCAACTGATCAATACATCCATCATTTCCTAATGAATACCCTAAACCATAGGACCTTTTGTCTTGAGCCTTTGACCTTGAAGAATAATTTGCAATAACAAACATATTTACTCTCTACCTTTTGTCAAACTCAACTTAAAATCATATAAACATGACACGTGTATTAAATTACACTATTAGTAAATTACAATTGAAAACAATGTAATCATTAGTTGTTGCATAAGAAAAAATAAATAAATAGACAAAAGTGCATCAACATAAAATCTATCATGCTATCAATATGGTAGTCCTTTCATCTTTCTTCACTTGGTATTCTTTAATGTCACGAAGGCGCTAGAGCAAGGTTCCATTTCTGTCAATTGAATCTCTTAGACTGACGATCCCCTCTACTTCGTGAAACTTGAGCTGAATTTTGCTAACAATGTTAGAACAGATGTATATTTCTTTTATTGCGTTAATTTTTTTAATATATTTTAAGGGATATGTAACAAACATTGATGGTAAATATACCTGTCATGAGGAACTGCCAAACTGGTGTTGTAATATATCTAGAAAAAAATAGAGAGACCGAGGTTCAGGATGAGGAGGGCTTGAAAGTTTCTTATACAACGACAGTTGGGTAATTTATGAGATTGGAAAAGGTGTACGTTACGCCAATTTTCTACCCAGAGATGTTTTCGTGATCATGAGACGTCAATCGTACTGCACGCAAAGGAAAGGAAAGAAAAAAAGGCATCTGGTTAAATTTTATTAGGCTTAAGAATTAAGACTAACCAATAAATTACATTTATTTCCTTCCTAGTACCAATTGGTTTTGAATTTTCCGCCGAATACCGAATATAGTTGCCAAATATGAAATGCCAGGCTCCCACGGACACATGGCTAATCAACAACAAGCGCATCTTTTGATATGACTCTTATCGATTGCCAAACCAAAGCAGCGATGTGAACCGACAATTCCTTTTCTTCTACTTGGCATAAGTTCCTTTTTGAAATTTTACTTAACTTGCTTTGCCAATTTCAAGTTTTTTTTTTTATTTAAAATTTACCCGTAGTCACTGAACTTTAATTAATAATTGCATATAAAACTTGTATAATCTATAATGATATATAAAATTTAATTTTTTTAGTTAAAAATTATAAAATTAACACATTAAAAAATGATAATTTGCATATTTTTTGTGATAATATCTAAAAAAAGTTGCAAATAAACAAACTTATCCATGTAGCCAGAGACATATAAATAGATTGATGATATGAATATTTTCAAAAATTAAAAAAAAATTAAAGAATTTTCTATTAAATTTTTTTTTAAAATTTTGTTATAAATATCTTTAACAATTAAAAAATAAAAAAAAAATTCTCCAGACACTTCTATTTTTTTATATCTTTTTCTTAATAAAATTAATAAATTTTTAAATAAAATTTTATATATATTATAAATGAATATCCTTTAAAAAAATTGAATCTACTACAGTACATAGGAGCAGATTTTTTTTTTTTTTACAATATGTCGCAGCAGATATTTAGTAGATGATGACTTCATTTTCCACTTCAAAACATTTGAAAGCAAAGTACTACCTGCCAAGTAGGTGTCAGCAATAGTTAAGATATTTTCTTTTCTCTTGGTCCATTTGATCATTGATGGGATGGATAAAGGTTAAGAGTAACGTACAGGAGTTAGGCCAGCCACCTAAAATTCAAGCAAGTTATGATGATGGTTTCCGTTTGGGTACAGGCAAAAAGAGTATTGATAATACAGTAATTTTATATGCATGAAAAGTATTATTTGCTTCATCCTTCAATTTATTTGTACATGTGATGTGATGTGATGTGAGTGTTATTTATTCTAGATTAAAGAAAAAGAAAATTAGATTGTTTATAGAAAATATCTTTATTTTTAAAAATTAATTTTCATTCTTAAATTTTTATTTTTTGAAAAATGTGTTTGTTAAATAAAAATGAATAACTATAATTACAAAATGAAAATATGAGAATGTGCTTGATATTGTGTTTTGTGTGAAATTATGAATTTATTCATGGGCCATGGGTCGACTGTTATGTTCATAAAAAAGTTTTGTCCAATTATGTTAATGTGCGTGAATATTTAGAAGGAAAAAACATGTTACTGAAGTGAAAAGCCTTTTACACTTATTTTTGGTTGGTTTCGAACTCGGGTTGTAGATCAGATTAGTTAATGAAATTCACGTTAATCGTATTTTCATATTTTTCTATTTTTCTGTTCAGTTTGTTGAAAAAACATTGAAAATAACCTTTTTTTCCCTTTGAAATTGGATGTATTTTCATTTTATTTTTTTTAAATGTTTTCTCAAATATTTACCAAACATGTTTTCACTTTTTTTTTTTCATGAAATAAAAAACAGAAAAAGTATATTTTCTTAAGCCAAATGCACCCTAGAAAAGGTTTAAATTAAATTCCTTTTTGAAAACATTAATGAATGTGTTGTAAATTTTAGGTGTGATTTATTAATAGAGCATTAAGTTTTAATTAAATTTTAATAATTTTAAATATAAAAAATGAATGTGTTGCAAAGTAAATGAGAGTTAGGTTCTAAAATATAAAAAGTGAGTCTCGACGTGCTAATTAAATATGGCATCCTGGTTGTATATTATTTAACAGAAAGATAAATAATGAAATAAAGCAATATTTGGTTATTTTTATTTTAAAAATTTTATTAACATGCTAATTAAATATGGCATCCTGATTATATATTATTTAACAGAAAGATAAATAATGAAATAAAGCAATATTTAGTTATTTTTATTTTAAATTTTTTATTAAGTTTTTTTATTTTAAATTTATATACTAATACAGCCAATAGATTAAACTAAAGAGAGATTTTTACTATAAAAAAAGATTTCCATGGTGATATTATCGTTTAGCTGGGATTTTAAAAGGTATACAACAAAAAATATTTATAGATAAAAATATATATATTTAAAAAAGAAAAAAATAAAATATCTATCAAATGAGCTTAAAAAATTGATACTTGACATTTGAAATAATGTATAAACTAAATTATTGTTTTATATTCATTATTATAGATAGATTAACGATTTCGTAGGTACATATTTCATCATGGTGAACATTTTTAATTAACAGAAATGAAACCTCATTAAGAACATAAAAATGAGAAGAGAAATTGATTGGATAAAATATTAGAAAGACTACGAATTATTCCAATTTTTAAAAATAAGATCTTATATTTTTAAATTAACATTGTATTCAAATAAATTATTATCTCTTTGTTTGTATCTGTATAAATTTTTATTTCAGTTACATGATCTAATAAATTTAGTGATTAAGATTTAAATCTTGATAACTTTAAATATAAAGATTTTTAACATTTTTCAAAATAAATACTTAACTTTTAATTTATAATTAAATAAGTTATTAATAATTTGATTTATATCTAAATAAATTTTTAATATAAATTATTTTTAAGTAAATATTTTTTTTAATACAAATAAAAAATAAAGATGTATTTAAAAATAATAAAATATATAAAGATTTATTTAAATAGAATGAAATAGCTCATGAATTTTTTTTAATATTTTAACCCAAAAAATTCATATATTTACTCGCAGTGTACACAAACTTTTAAAATAACTTTACTATATTACAGCAACAATTTGTTTTAATTTTATCTAACAATTTATTAAAAAAAACAGATCAATTTAATCTGCAGTCTGATAGATTGTTAAAAATGAATTGATTTATGACTATTAAAACAATTAATTGAAAAGGTCAGTTCAGGTTGGCTACCAGCAAAAACCTAGCACTTCATAAATACGCTCCAGTTTTGGGACCGAAGTAACCGAACACGCAGCCTGTCTAGCGACTGAAATGATCAAATGAATTTCTCTTGTGCGCTACTTGTGCCTTCATGTTAAAGATTGCACTGACTTGAAATTCTAAAATTGCCCTTCAAATAGTATAATTGCAAGTGCAACCAACTACATCAACTCACGCCAAAAGTTCGTCCTTCTTTCTACAAACGCTTAAACTTCCGTCCCCATCATCATTTCTTTTTTTTAATCTTTTGCAATTTTGTTCTGGAGTTTTCTTTATGGGAGAAGCCAAAAACCTAGATATTCATAGTAGCTAATAAAGTGGACGAAGAGAATGAAGGAGATGATAGAGAAGCCACGAAAGATCAACATGTTGATAAGGAAATGGGTTTCGGATCTTGATTGGCGTCTTCTCTTCTTGGTAATCGTTCCCCTTTCGCTTCTTCTTTTTGTTTCTTTATCATATACACCAATCAACTCTGTTTTCCCGCTCCGGTCTTTCATCTTCAACAGAAACAACTTCTCCGATTGTATCAGTACATGCCCCCCTAGGCCCCCCAATCAAACCCATTTGGCCAAGTCTGAGTTGCTTCAGTCGAGGATCGCGGTGTGCTTGGTTGGTGGAGCCAGAAGATTCGAGCTCACGGGACCCTCGATCGTGGAGAAGGTTCTTAAAGAGTATCCTAATGCAGACCTCTTTTTGCACAGTCCCATGGACAAGAATACCTTCAAATTATTACTTCTAAAGACGGTGCCAAGGCTCGCCTCGGTTCGAATATTTGAGCAGAAATTCGTGCCGCAGACGGAGGAGCAAGTTCGAGTCCTCACGGCTGCGAACTCCCCTAATGGCATCCAGGTAGAAACTGTGAACTTTTTTAACACTTTGGTTACATCAAATCAAATTTTGCTTAAATTGGGTTTCGTAAATATTTGTTCCATGTCATACTGTATTCCGATTTGGTAAGTTGGAAACAAATCACCTTTTTTGGTGCTGGTTGGTGGATTTTGCGCTGGAGTTGTACCCGTCGCCAAATTTTGGTAGCCAACTCCTTTTGAACGTTCTTACTTTTCCAATTTGTTTTTCTCAATCTTTTTCTTATAATTGTTCCAAATTTACACGTTTTACAACTGGCTTGCCTTGTTTGAATCTTTTTTCCAAAAGTTGGGATAATAGTCACAATACATTTTGGCATATATAATGCGTCCTTTACATATAGTTAAACTTTTTTAATGAATACAGTCGGTAATAAATTCATGGTCAATTCAACATCCATATCTGTATGTTGTTTTTCTCGAACCTAGAAGTAGCTAACTGGGAAATTGCCAGTTCCAGTACTTTTTTGGATGATTTATTACAATTGCCAAAATAAAAGGTATTTTTTTTCCTTTGGTCTAGTTTTCTGAATAATAGTTTCTTGATAAACGTTTAAAGAAAAAGCTTAGTTTCGAATTAATTTTTTTTTACTTATATTAAGATTTTATTCTCTTGACCTACCAAAAAAACAATTTTTAGTGACGACTAGTAATTATCTGATTTATTCCAACTGGGAAGGTCAAAAGTCTGCTTCCAGTAAGGTTGCCATTGTACGGTAATTCGGCTTTTATCTTAAATCATCAGACCCAATATTAACTTGGGTCCCGCTTCCCGTTATAAATTTGAGCACTGATCGCCACTTGTCCTGGTTTATACTTTGACTTTCCACTTTCCTAAATATTTTAAGAATATAATATAAAATTCACAATTTCTCTTTCAGGGTCTTCTACAGTATTTTAATTTGGTGGAGGGATGCCTCGCGATGATCGAATCACACCAAAGGCAACACAACTTCACATACGACTGGATAGTCCGCACAAGAGTAGACGGTTACTGGAATGCACCTTTACAACCCCAAAACTTCGTGTCAGGCCAATACACTGTCCCTTCGGGTTCTGTCTACGGCGGCCTTAATGACCGCCTCGGCATCGGCGACTTTTACACTTCAAAAATTGCTCTCTCCCGCCTTTCTCTCATCCCCAAACTTGACTCGGCTGGGTACAGTCAACTCAACTCAGAGTCAGCGTTCAAGGCCCAACTCACCACCCAAAACGTATCTTACGTAGAAAATAGATTACCGTTCTGCGTCGTGACGGATCGGACGTACCAGTTCCCGCCTGCCCATTTGGGAGTGCCAGTGGCGGCGTTGTCGAGTCCTGGTCCACTAAGTGGGGCCAAATGTAGGCCTTGCACCCCTATATGCAAAGACCTTTGCGTGGCGGATATAATGTCATGGCTTGACAAGAGATGGAGCTGGACCAACTGGGGTAACGGGACTCTTGAGCTATGCAATGCTCAAGGTGACTGGGAGAACGGATGGGAGAAGATTTTTGATAGAGTTGCTGGTAAAAAACTCGCTGCTGAGAGGAGGCGAGTTAAGGTTTTGAACTTTGATAAATGTGTTCGTGATTTTAGAGAAATGAAGCAGAAGGCTGTCAAGTGGGAGGCACCTGGGGTGAAGGAGATCTGTAGACTCGGGCTGGGGATGTCACGGAGGTGATTCTTTTACAGCTTTAATTTAGGTTTTACTTTTGGAATTGTAAATTTTTCATATTGAAAATCTTTTTCAACATAAATACATGGGCTATACGTTGTAATCTGGCATCAGCAATGTGTAAACGAAGTAGCTTCGGATATAATATTTTCTATAAAGCGCGCAATGGAATGTTCTTATGAATTTTCAATAGTTGGCGCTGACATGAAGGAACGGTAGTTGAAAACCAAAAGGTCACTAAAATATGTGGAATTCCAGTGTCACGAAACCAAACTCCCAAAAGCCATCAGGCAATGGATGGTAATGTCTTAGTAAACATCCGCATGGCCCGCCTAGCTGATGTGGTTGTCCGTAGTTGTCATTTCATTTTCAGAAAGCCCCTTCAATTAAAAACTTTCACTTTTTTGACTTTTTAGGATGTAAACCGGCTCCGCTGTCAACTTCACGTACATTCGTTCTTTCGGATGCAAATTTTTTTTTTTTATTTAGTGCTAGGTAATTTTTATTTCCAATTAATTATTGTAGTAGCACGAAGCATTCGATCCAACACAATGACACACCCGCTACATGCATGCCTGGGACATACTGCGTGTTGTCTTCCTTAATTTCAAGGAGACAAATAAAAGCTGCAGTAATGTCACATGGGAAAGAGATAACTGTGAGCAAAAGAAAATCCAATTAGGAATTAAGAACCAATAGCAATATCATCTTCAAAAAACTTATTATCATTCACCAAATATTCTTCATATACAGACGTATATAGTCAGTAAAGGATTAGTCCCTTATTCAGTGGGAGTTGAAGGTGCCATCTAATTTATCCTAAATTAGCTTTCTCTTTATCTTTTTTTTTTTTTTGGTTATTTCTTTTCGGGGGAAAAAAATAAATAAAACGTAAAGATATTAAATAAGTTAATGACAAATACAATTAGTTAGTTAATGCTGGCATGATCCTTTCAACCCCAAAGAAACTACAAATAATTCTTTGTGCATAGGCTAGCAATATTGTGCATGGGACTAACAATAGAGACTTCTATCATAAGTTTAAACTTTGTAGCCTTACAATAAGGTCGGCAAACAATAACTATTAGATTTATATAATTAAATCTTAACTATTAATTAAATTTTAAAGTAAAGAAGAGTAAAACCTGCTTATCAAGTAATGAGATTATAAAATAAAATTTATAACATTTATATAATTTAAATAATATTTACTTTATGTAATAATTTTTTATTTTCACTTTATTACATGGTTATGAAATTAATTAAATAAAAAATAATAATTAAAAATATTTGTTTTGAAAATTTTTTTAATGTAATTGGCATCTTAAAAAATAACTAAAAAATATTATTAAAAAATTCTAAAGAAATTAAGAATATTAACATAAAAATTCTTTTAAAGAAAAAAATAATTTTAAAAAATTATATTTTAAATAAAAAAATTATTAACATAATCAAATGAGAAAAATAATAAAATTTATATCAATTTATGTTAAATGGGATAAAATTGTTGTAACATGCTAAAAAACGAGTTATGAAAATTTTAAACATAATTGAATGTAAGAAAAAATGTTAGAATAATTATTTTAACATAAATAATTAAGTTAACAATCTAAAATTTAAATTATCATTATTTTTTATAAATATAAAAAAAGTTAAAAATACATTCAATGATAACAATTGCCGTAAAAGAAATTATATTTTTTAAAAAAATTAATAAAAAATTTATTAACATAAGCATGTTAGAAGAATTGTAAAATTTGTATAATTTAACATAAAATATGTTAGAAATATTGTAACACCTAAGAAAGAACTATGATAATTCTAAATTTAATGAAATATAAGAACAACCGTAAAAAAATATTATTGTAATGTAAATAATTAAGATAACAATATAAAATTTTGATAAATATATAAGAAAAATATCTAATAAATAAAAAAATATATAAATAACATGAATAGTTGAGAGGAAACATAACATTCATATCATTTGACGAAAAATAATAAAAAATGTCATAACACATTAAGAATAAACTATGACAATTCTAAATATATTTGAAGTAAGAATAGACATGAAATATATTATTATAATGTAAATAAATAATTATGATAGCAACGTAAAACTTTAATTAATTATTGTTTATATATATAAATAAAATAGCTATAAATTAAAAAATAAATTGGTAATATATACAAATGTGAAAAAAACGTAAAATATTGTCATTTAACGTAATGGATAAAAAGTATCGTAACACACTAATAAATAATTATTACAATTTTAAACATAATAAAAAGTAAGAACAATCATAAAAATATATTATTATAACGTAAGTAATAATGTTGACAATATAAAATTTTAACTAATTATTATTATTTTTAAATATATAAAGAAAATAGCTAAAAATTAACAAACAAATAGATAACGAAAAATGAGTATTATTTGTAGACACCCAATTTAGTCCAGGCTCGGATCAATTGGGCCTGATCCAAATAGTTAAGTCCATTTTTTTTCTTTTCTTCTTTATTTTCTTCTTATTTTTATTTTTTATTTTTATTTTTATTTTTTATTTTTATTGTATTTTACATTTTTATTTTATTTTATTTCTATTTTTATTTTATTTTATTTTTATTATTTTATATATATTTTTAGGTATTTATGTATTTATTAATATATAGATATCTTTATTTTTTTTCTTTTTTCTTTTTTTCTTGTTAATATTTATGTATATCAGATTATGTATTATCTGTTATTTAATTTTAATTATCTGTTAATTTTTTTTATTTATCTTATTTATTTTCTTTTGATTTTTTTACATTTTTCGTATTTTTTTTATTTTTTTTTTATTTACTTGGCTGGAGATTGGATTGGGATTCAATCAAAAGAGTCCAGATTGGATTCAAAGATTGAATCTCCATCCAAAGAGGAATTGGGATTGATCAGAAACTCCCGATCAATCCCTATAAAAGGGACCCTCTGGAATAGAAGCAAAATACACAGAAAAAAATAGTGAGCAAAGCTACTGATCTGGGAGAAAAGGGGCGTATAGAAAGCTAAGAAAAGGTTTAGAAGGGTTCTAGGAATTAGCAGAAATTTTTTGAAGATTTTTGGCATTTTTTTCTGGGAATTTTTGGAAAATTCTAGATTTCGGTTGAATTTTTCGACGAAAGTTACACTTTTCAGCGAAAATTTCGATCAACCTTGAAGTTTCCGACGAGCTGCCCAGTTTTCGACGAAGAATCCCAGAAACTGGCGAACTTTCGAAGAACTTTCGACGAAAAACCCAGATTTCGTTGAAAAATTTCAGAATCCGGTGAATCTTCAATCGGAGTTCTTCAGCTGTTTAGAGAGAAGCGAGAGAAAAAGAAAGAAGAGAGAGAGAGGGAAAGAGCTTTCTGTCAAAAAAAAGAGGGAAGAGCCTTATATATCCTCCCAAAACGACGTCATTTTTGCCTTAAGTGACCCAAAGGATCCGCGCGTTTTACCGAGATCTGACCCGATCCGAGCATCGACCCGTTTCTTGACTCGCGCGTGTCTCCCCCTCCGAGTCGATAGTCGAGCCGAGCCGAGGTTTCAAGCCGCTTCTCCGAGCCATTTTCTCTTCCTTGAGCCGAGCCGAGACAAGCCGTACTCTGAGCAGCTCTAGGTTTTTTTATTTTATTTATTAGATAGGTTTATTTAGTATTCTTTTCACCTTTATTTTATTTTTATTTTTGTTTTACTTTTTTTTGTTTTATTTTATTTTTTTTAAATAAAAATAAAAAAAATAATATTTTGAGAAAAAGTTGAAAGTATCAATTTTCCTTAAAAATAAAATTTAAAAAAAAGGGTTTTTGAGGAAAAGTTGAAAGTATCAATTTTTCTTAAAAATAAAATCTAAAAAAAAGGGTTTTTGAGGAAAAGTTGAAAGTATCAATTTTCTTTAAAAATCAAAATTTTCAAAAAATATTTTTAGGAAAAAGTTGAAAGTATCAATTTTCCTTAAAAATAAATTTAAAAATTTTAGGGAAAAGTTGAAAATATCAATTTTTCTTAAAAATAAATTTCCAAAAAATATTTTTAGGGAAAATTTGAAAGTATCAATTTTTCCTGCACAAAAACAATTATTCTTTTCTTCCTTTTTATTTTGATTTTGATTTTGATTTTTCTTTAAATAATCCGACGATTGAGCCTCTGCAAGTGAAACAATAGTTTTTCTTGCATACTCTTGAGGTGAGAGAATTTTTTTAATTTTCTACTAAAAGTATTAGAGTCAATTGAGAATAATTTTCAATAATTAATTACTTGATAAAATTTTAAGGCTCATTGGATAACACAAATTTCAGTTGGTACCATCTTTTGATGGGTGTTGTGAGGGTGCTATAACCTTCCTCACACGTAACCGAACTCTCGAACCCTATTTTGGTTAGTAGACCTGAACCTATTCTTTTAGGGACCCTTAAACTTAGGTGTTCCCTAAAAGAACAGATTCTTTAGGTGGTCAATCGCACCTAGATAAAAAAGATTGGTGGCGACTCCTAAAAGTCAATGTCTAGCGATAGATCTCCGGATCTAAACGTTATGACATTATTTGGTGTAGAACTAAAAAAAATGTCATAACATAATAAAAAATAACTATTATAATTTTAAACATAATTAAAAGTAAGAGCAATCATACAAACAAATTATTGTAACATAAATAATTAAGTTGCCAAAATAAAATTCTAATTAATTATTTTTTAAACATATAAAAAATAGCTACAAATTTAAAAAATATATTGGTAACATAAAATGTGTATAAATTATCGTAATACTTGTCGTAAAACACTAAAAAATATTATAAGAATTTTAAACGTATGAAAAGTAAAAATAGCTATAATAATATATTATTGTAACGTAAATAATTATGTTGGCAATGTAAAATTTAATTAATTATTGTTTTGTAAATATTTTAAAAAAATAAATAGATAAAATAAATAAGTGACGATAAACCTAAAATTAATATCATTTGACCTAAAATAGATAAGAAGTGTCATAATATATTAAAAATGAGTTATGACAATTTTAAAAGTATTGAAAAAAAATAACAGTAAGAAGATATTATTATAAAGTAAATAATTATGTTGACAATTTTAAGTTTTAATTAATTATTGTTCCTGTAAATATATAAAAAATAGCTAAAAATAAAAAAAATAAATTGACAATTTAAACAA